CAGGCCTGGGCCTGGGCGCGGGCCGGGCGGCGGTGGCCGCTATTGCATCGCACAGATGGGGGGACCCGAGAGCCAGAGACTCGCCCTGGCTCCTGGCCGCGGCCAGTGGTGGCAGAGCTCTCGCCCCCGACACCCAACACCCGCACAGCTGAAGCTTCCAGAAGTCACCGTGTTCATGAATCCGGCCCGTGGCTGGCCTGTGTCTTCCACGTGGTCGTGGTTCCCCATCTACCACGTGCCGGCGACTGAGCCCCACAGCCCCAAATAGTTATAGTTTCTTACAAACACAGGCAAGTCCTTTTCTCTTTCTTTCTCCCTTTGAAGGCTTTTCGCTCCTCTTTCCCGTGGTGTGACTTTTTTGACAATGAGGAAGGGTTCTCCTTCCTTACTGCCTTTTTAAAAGGCTGCCTCCTGCAGCCCCTGCAGGGGTGGAGCCGCAGCGTAGGCGTGTGCCCGGCCGGGAATTGAACCTTCCCCGTGCATGCTGCGACCTGGAAGGTTCAATTCCAACTTTGGGCGTTTTGGAGGCAGCTGTTCCTGCTTAGCTCACTCCCCAAGTCCCTGGCAGCCCACAGGCTGTGCCTTCTCCACTTCCTCCCCTCCATCCACCGAACTCCTACTCATCCCTCAGCTACACCGGTCAGGGCTCCATTGTGTGATTTTTAAAACAGCGTTTCTCCACTGACCGTCTTTCCTCATTCTTTATTTCCAGCGTCTTCACCATTTTGTATCTAATTTTTTTTGAAGGGGTCTTGGAGCCAGAGCTGGCCTGCCGCATTTTTATTTTATTGTCCTCATGAAATACTGGGCGTGTGAACTCAGCCTGGGGAGCCTGCCGGCATCTGCTGCAGGGCCCACTGAGCTGCATTTGTGGGTTCTCATTTCACTCTTGTTCTCTGTAGTCTAGACGAGAGACCCCCGCCAGGATGGTTGGTGAGCTCACCGTCCTAGCAAGGCTGAGCTGCCTCCTGGCTGTTTTGGTCCCCGGAACCCAGGGGGGCTCTGGACCTGGGCCTTTGAGCAGCTCCCCGATGGCAGCGTTTCTTGGTTTACCTCAGAGGAGCTGGTCTGGAGGAATGGCAGGCCTCCAGGCGAATGGCCTCTGGTCCTCTCTGGGGTTTCGGTCAGTAGGCTGTCTCCAGGACCCTTACAGCCCTGCCGGACCCTGCCCTGCCTGGGCCGGGTGACAGACCAGCCTGGAGGAGGGACCCTCGAGGCTCTTCGCTGTTCCCATAATGGAGTCCAGACCCCCAGCCTGGCAGTACTGGTCCCAGGAGCACGCCCACCACCACTGGTCGGCCTGCGCTCTGGTTCCTAGCATGGCCCCTTTTGTCCCACTGTCCCCACTCCAGCTAGAATGACCTAAATGCCACAAGTCTGATCCAGTCACTCCAGGTTAAAATCCTTTAGTGATTCCTGTTTCCTTCCAGGCCCTGCCCTATCCTTCCACCACTCCCTGGTTGTCAGCTTGGAGGTATAGCATTCCCTGTACTTTTCTTTCATGCCTTTCTGGACCTCTACAGGCTGTGCCTTCTCCACTTCCTCTCCTCCATCCCGTGAACTCCTACTCATCCTTCAAAACCCACTCATCAGGAGCAGATGCTTCTCAACCTATTATGGTATTGTCATCATGTCTGTCCTGGCGCCTGGTCTGCAAGCTTGAGAAGCAGTATCACTCTGGAGCCCTGACACCTGGTTCCAATCCCAGTTCTGCTACGTCTCAGCTGTATGAGAGCAGCATGCTACCTGACCTCCATGCTTCAGTGTCTTCATCTGTAAAACGAAGGTAAGACTACATACCTTCCAGGGTTGTGAGAATTAAATTAGTTACTACAGCTTACATGTAAAGTGCTTAGTGGCTGGCACATAGTAGTTGCTGTATCTTTTATCTTTGTGTCCTCAGCACCTGGCCCATTATTACAATACTAGATTCTCATGAAATGTTAAATAAATAAATGGAATGCAATCTAATCTGACTTTCACAATAGCCCAAGAGGTTAGCAGGGACCATAATAGCTCTCTTATAGGTAAGAATGCAGATTCCAGAGGGGTTGAATGACTCCCCACCCCCAAACCCCAACCCTTCAACCACTTCATCTCAGGTCTGTGCATGGCAGGACCCCTCCCCTCACCTGCCACGTCTCCCTGCAGCCGCCGGGCCTGGGCTCGGTTGTTGTAGGCTGATGCCCGCTCGGGCAGCAGGTTGATGGCTTGGCCAAACCTCTCCAGCGCTGTGCTGAGGTCGCCAGCCTCTGCCGCGGTCACTCCCTGCAGCTCCAGGGCCTTGGACTGCTCCAACTGTGCTTGTGGGAAAACTCCACCTGTGCCAGGGAGGGAGCCAGGAGGGGGCAGGTGTGCAGCCGGGAGCAAGAAGCAAAAGCCACCTCAGGCTCTGGACACGTGAGCCAGAACTGCCTGGGCTGAGGGGTGGTCACAGCTGGAGTGAGATGCGGATTTGGGACGGGGGAACCGAGGTCACCCGAGGCTGAGAGCTAGCACTGCCTAAGCCCCAAAGGAACCTGGGAATGAAGGGCATGAAGCTCAAGCTCCTTAGCCTGCAGCTGAAAGGACTTGCTCAAGGCCACACAGCCTGAGTTGCACAGCTTGGATTTGAGCCCAGGTCCTTTCCTGTGTGCCCGTTTTGCTCGACTGCACTGCCTCCAAAACTAAGGCCTCCGTGACACCCCCAGGTCACGAAAATCCCTCCCCACATATCCCACTTTCCAGCCTGAAGTCTCAGTAAGGCTTAGGCGTCACCCCTTTAGAAACAAGGACATAAAAACCTCGATGGGGACCCCAGTCCCCAGTCCCCCCTTTCTTCCTGGCAGTGACTGTCATCCCCCCCCGCCCCCCCCCGCCCCGTCAGTGTTCTAGGGATTTTCCGAGCTTTAAGGCCAATCTCAATCATTGCCCCAGGGTCTGGAGCAAACATTGGGGTTTTGTAAGATCACCTACCTTGGCCTCCCCAGGAAGGCCTGCAGACCAGCTAATGTTGAGAGCTATCCTCCAAGGTCAAATACTCACCTTCATCTTCTTCCTCCGCTTCCTCTCCCAGGTCCAACCCGACAACGTCTCCAAATGGGGTGTCGGGGTTGAAGATGGCCTGCAAAACTGCCTGGTCGTTTAGCGTCCCCATGGTGCTCAACTCCAAAGCTCCAAAACTCCAAAAAGGTGACTCAGGATGAGGGAGGGAGGGAGAAGTGGTGGGAGGAGCTGAGCTGTGCAGCCAGTGGATCTGAGGGAGGTTGTTTGAGGACCATCCCCATGAAGAGGAGTGTCCTGTTCTTTTGGTTACAGGGTAAACTGGACGTCCTCTGGCCCTGGGCTCGTGACCCTGGCCTGGCAGAACATTTACAGCTATTTCTCAACCGCCTCCCCACCAGCACTCCCGTCCCAGGAGAAACAGTAAATACATTTTCAGGCTTAAGGTGGAGGGGAGAGAGCCGTACTGTCCAGGTTCTCCTTTGCGTGCTTTTATCCTATTCAGATCAGGAGGAAACCAACAGAAGCCAGGGCCTGACTGCCCGTGGGCCAGGGAGGGGTACACAGGCAGTAAAGGAACTATTTCTGTGTCCTCTTGAGCCTTTCTTCAAGTCCAGAATTAGGTGCCGAGTAGACATCATTGATAAGGAAAGGAGATGCTGTGAAGAGCCGGTGTGGGAGGCAGAGGACTCCAGGCATCCTGTCCCCCTCCCCCAACCCTCCGCCCAACGAAGCCAAAAGAAAGGTCCACCACGTGCAGCAATAAACTTGACATGTTTATTAATTAAACTATCACTTAAATAAAAAAAAGTGCATAGAAAATAAACATGTTTAAAAACTCCTTTTTTTTTACAACTATGTACACTTTTTACTTTTACATTCAGTCTTTCGTAGAGAGCTTTCAGCATTATTATTTTTTGAACTATTAAAGTTATTTAAAATTGGAACGATACAGAGAAGATTAGCATGGCCCCTGCGCAAGGATGACACGCAAATTCGTGAAGCGTTCCATATTTTTTTAAAAGAAAAAAAAAAAAAAAAAAAAAAAAAAAAAAAAAAAACAACAACCGAAAGATCTGTTATACATGATAAAGGTATCAAGAAATGTCATTTTTAGAAAAGAAGCTTGTCATCTGTTGAGCTTTTGAAACAATTATTCAACTACCTGTATTTACTAAAGAGACTGTTAAAAGTTCAATGAAAGAAACACCACGAGTCTATTTTCTTGGTTGAAAGACAGAACTAGAGTACCTGGGAGCAAGATACCAGGAAAGCACAGAACACAATTTTCCCCTAAATGCAGGTGGTAACCCCAACATTCATAACCAAAAATAGATAAACAAGGAGTACAGATACTGCCTGGCGACATCCACTGGCAGAAGAGCATCCAGGTGGCACCTCCTGCGTCGCTGCCCGCTGGGACCGCTGCCCGCCTCCCGTGTCCGGGCCTCCCCGTCCCGAGCGTCAGAAGGGCCAGCGGCTTTTCCCGCCGCCACTAGCAACTGGAACACACCCCTATCTATAGTGTTAAGAGAATGAAAGCCATGGACTGTACGAGGCTTTGTTACACGGTGCATTACTATGTTAGTTCCTATATATATCATATTTATACTTATTTGAAAACCAAAACACAAAAGTTGCAAGTTTAGAGAGTGAGTCTTGACTGGTGTTCGTGATTCGGCATAAAACCATCTGCTCAATCACCTTGTATTGCTTTAAAATGGAGACGAAACAAAATCACACCCAGCCCTTTGCAATGACCCGCTTTTCCTTAAAAAAAAAAAAAAAAAAAGGAAAAAAATCTTTTTAACCTAAAATACCCCAAATCAAACTTAAAACTTATCATCTGACAAGGTTTGGACCTTTAGTATTTTCGGATATTTGATTGAACGTCAGTCCTTTAGAAAGATACATTCATTAAAAGATTTGTGTTGTGTTGTGTTGTGAAATCCAGGTGCCGCGTGGAACTCCGCGTGGCCGGGGATCTGCAGGCAAGCAGGGGGGGCCCGGATTGCGGCAAAGGAGCCTGGGCAGAGCAGACAGCTGCCAGGGCTGCCCCTAACTCGTTACTGGTCTAAAACCAGGAGGGGTTGTGCTGAAGGTGGTGGACAGTAACAGAGGGACCGAGTTCTGTTCAAGGGCCAGGCTGGCAGCTACTCTGGTTACACAGGTGTCTGTGCCACCAGGAGAGGCGGCTGCCAGTGTTCACAGAACCACCCAGGTCGCAGCCTGTCACTCCTCAGGGACGTGGGGTGCCCCTTGGAGACTTAGGAGTGACCCACCGCAGTACCTGTCCGCACTTCTGTGAGGAGACTCCTTAGCTCACCTTCAAAACAGATTTGGGCGTTTTGGAGGCAGCTGTCCCACCTTCTGCCTGCTTAGCTCACTCCCAAGTCCCTGGCAGGTTGGCTGAAGTTTGGCAATGAACTCAAGGCTGAGCTGTGGGAGGGACTTCTCGTTTCCGTGGTTATAACCAGGGAGGGAAAGGCCAGGCAGACCACCTGCAGCCACAGGAGGAGACACAGATTTGGGGGAGAGGGGGGGCTCACAGTACGCGGCCTAGCAGAGCAGTAACTGGATCTGCTGAGCTGAGTCTCCCCCCACCCCAGGCTGGCCTTTGGTGAAGTCGTGACCCATCAGTGCATTAATCATTCCAGTAACAAATGCAGCTTAAGGTTTTCTTCTAAAAAAAAATTAAAAAATTAAAGGATTTACAAAAACCTCACACAGTGCAATAATAAAGGAAACCAGACAGTAGTGAACCCTCGGGCCACCATGTCTTGTTCACGGGCAAGAGGAAGGGAGGGAGGTCTGGGTGGAGGGCCTTCTCCACGTCCCAGGGCGGTCTCTGCACTCTGGCCACAGTGCTGGGCCCCGTAGGCAGGGGAACTGCATCTTTCAGCAGAGCCACCACACGAAGTTCTGAAGGGCACGGGAGCCCGGGAGCCCAGGGCGAAGGCACAGCAGAGCCGTGAGCCGGGGCAGAGCTGGCAGAGTATTGCTTGGCTGGACTTCCCAGGGAGGGGCTCCCGGGGAAGGGACTACACGCTCTGAACCCTCGTGCGGATGAGGCGGAGAAACAGATCTGCTCCCTCGGGGGCGGTCAGACTGCTTCAGCTTCAGTGGGGTCTCTGCAGGAGTGAGGGCTCAGCGGGCAAGGGGGAACGAGGTGATCTGTGAGGCAGAGGGGGATGGGATGTCAGGTGCCATCCGCTCCGTCTGTGAAGCGGGAAAGGAGATGAGCACGGTCACCGCTCGGGGCCAGTGCGGGAAAGAAGAGGAGCGGCCCCAAGGGGCTGGGTGACCTTCCTTTCCTTTTATTGTCGAAGAGCAAACCCAGGAAACGTTTATGTCAACAGGGCACAAACGAACTACACATGAAACAACAGAAACTTCCAGGGGGAGCTGGGCAGGAAAAACCAGACTTTGCATGTACAGCTGAATAGTTTCTTTAACTTCATCCTATGAAAATAAAAACTTATTTAAAACCGATCTTTTAAATTAGGATAATACCGCGGTTTAAAAAATAGCCTTGTCATAAGTGCTTCTCCCTATGAAGTGCTTCTCATAGAAAAATATACAAAATATATTTACATTTATAAAACCTTAAATAGTAAACTGTAAACAGAACAGAGTAAAATCTGATGACTTAATTTAATAGGTCGGGACACGGTCTCGGGGAGGGAGGAAGCGGAGGGTGCGGGTGGCCACATCGGAGGGCGCAGGGCAGTAGTGTCATGAACTCACTTAGCCGTGGAGTTTGCATAGGTGGCAGTCCCCTCAATGCAAGGTGCTCAGTCCCCAAGGTTTGGGCCTTGAAATCTGATTAGTGTTGTGCCTTCAACTGGACATGGGCCCTTTAAAGATCAAGTCTTCCTATGTCGTCACAAAGGGAAAATGGTCACCGTGGCCTAGGGATGGGGCCCAGAGGCACCCTGGCCAGAGGCTCTGGCTGCTGCATGACTCAACTATTGAAACAACCTTTCCCTCGTCTCACATATCAGGCTCCGGACGTTTCTCTAAAACTCTCAGCAGAGTTTTGAGAAAACGCCTCATTCTGTCTGGTTCTGGCCAAGGCCTCCTGTCCACCTCCCACTGGGAGTGCCTCCAGGCTCGGGACGTTTGGAGGCGCACAGTATGCCCACAGGGAGTGTCCTTGAGCAGGAGTCACGGTCTCCTCCACCCGGAGAGAATGGGAAAGCAGTGGAGGCCGAGCAGGGAAAACGGGGAAGTGGAGTGAAGAGGAGTGAGGAGGAAGCCGCTCTGCGGTCAGGGAAGGAAACTGGCTGCGATAAGGCTCATGGGGACGGACTCCCACTTACAGCCACAGGCTCGGTGTTTGGTAATTAATTGGCACAACCCCGACAGCCTTCACCACCACAGGGGCTGAGAATCCCTTTCCCAACCAGAGTGAGTGCTCCCTGGGAAGGCAGGGGAACCACCCGCCTCCTGTTTGTTCCCCAACGGCTCCAGCTGGGCCCGCCGGCAAGCGGTCAGGGACCAAACCACCCCCACCCAGGGCTCTGCCTGGCCCCTGGCTGCAGGGCGTGGGAAAGGGCCACAGAGGACGGCCACTTCTCCCAACGCAACAAACCCAGAGCTCCTTCCAGGCAAGTCTACTAGGCACCCCTCTCCCCATTTCTGAACAGCACACAACCAGGGGGCCCCAGCAGAAGGCAGGTCCCGGATCTTCTCCGAAACCTCCTCTGCCCCCAGGACTGTGGTCACATGTCTAATGTGAATACGGAACACAGGGCTCCGCCACCTGGGAGGCCCCGGTCCCGGCACTGGGGAGGGGAGCAGCTTCAGTTGAGGAACTTCCGGCATTTCTTGGCGCCGCAGTTGCAGGGGAGCTTGTTGCTGGCATCCTCGATGGGAAACTTGTAGTCGTAGGTGAGCTCCTCCCCGCGGTAGATCTTGCGCATCGCAAAGATAACGATGTGCTTCTGCCCGTCGATGTTGATGACCCGGGAGTAGCAGTTGGGCTCGCACGAGTGGTTGATGAAGCGGGCGGCGTTGCCATGCATGGTGGCGTCCACCACCTCCGAGTCATCGATGCGGAACATGTAGCAGCCGATGCCCTGCGTGCGAAGGCGAGCGTCGGTTCAGTACCGCTCAGATCCGAGAGCACCTCCCAACCCTTTTCTTTCTTTTAACTGAGAAATACGTGTTTTTAAAAGAATTTTTGTTAGCCCTCACCGAGGATATTTTTCCATTGCTTTTTAGGGAGAATGAAAGGGAAGGGGAGAAACATTGACGTAAGAGAAATACATCAATTGGTTGCCTTCCACACTTGCCCTGCCCAGGGCAGGGGATCGAGCCTGCAACCAAGGTGTGTGCCCTTGACTGGGATCTAATGGGAGACCTTCCATCTGGGGCCGCTGCTCTATCCACGGAGCCAAACTGGCCAGGGCCCAACCTTTTCCTGATGTGACTTATAGTTGTTGCTGCTGCCGAACATTTCTTCTGGAATAATTTCCAGATTCTTCCCCTCTCTCAAGACACTTCCATGATGAATTCCTAGGTTACAGACACTAGATTACTGGTTTCTTTTTTTTCTTTTTCTTTTTGATGTTCCAGCCAACAGGAAAGGGAAACATGGGCATTGTTTGCTATGTGGTTTTGACTCCGAGAGCCATTCAGACAAACCTTCAACGAGTATTTTGTACACAAATCCTTAGAGTAGATTATGAACTTTTACTGGTCCCACCGCAAATTTCAGAGGATATAGAAATGTTGAAAAAAAAGTGTCTTTGAATCAATAAAGTACTATTTTTAAAAAATTGATCTTTGGAAAGAGAAGAAGGGAGAGGGAGAGAGAAACATTGATGTGCCTGCATGCCCCCAACCAGGGATCGAGCCCGCATCCTTTCCGTGCATGGGACGATGCCGACCAACTGAGACACATCGGCCCGGGGAATACTATTTACTCTTTGATCTAGAGATAGTTATAGTTGGTGGGCACTTTCTATAACAAAACGAAAGAACAGGAGAGAGAAAGTGTGAGGCGCACCTTGCTGTCATAGTACTTCTCTCTCTTGTCAGTCTGGATGGAGCGGATGACATTGCCGGCGTACTCAATCACCATCTCACCCGCATCGATGTTTCTCTTACAAAAGAGACCCCGGCCATGGATGGGAGACCTAGGGCAGGAAGACGGACAAGATCAGCCGCACGTCCTGCAATAAGGTTAATTGTATGAACACATGAACAAATGAGTAATATCCCGTTAGTCCCCCAAGAGGGACCGACCGACACTTGGGGAAAAAAGAACCTGGCCCCACCTGATCTGAGGGCAGGAACTTTCTGAGATGGCCAAGGACAAAAGTGCTCTCCATTCTGCATACAGCCACTGACGCAGCAGCAATGGGAAGCTTTGCTGGGTTAAATGCATTGTTCAGTGTAAGAACTGCTGGACCCAGGGCTCAGGTTCAATGGCTGTTACCTACAAACCCAGCTTTCCGAGGGGGGCACGCTCTCCCGCAGTGGGTCCATTCCGATTTTGGAAAACACCACTCGTTTCCTAGCAGTCTCTCTAGAATCGGTCATACCTATAGACACCAACAGCCTCTTTAGACGTCTTCTTCAAGTGCCGGAAGCGCATGGGCATGGGCAGGTCCATGCTAGTCGCCCTCCTAAGGAGACAAGGATGTAGTAATGAACTCCACTCAGTCCTGAGTCTTAGACTGCAGGGTCCTGGGGCAGAGGACTCAGTGTTCTTTGCTCAGTGCCAAGCAAACAAGTACCTTATAAAATTATATAAAATTAGGACTCTTTTAAATACTTTCTTTTTCTTAATCCTCACCTGAGGATATTTTCCAATTGATTTTAGAGAGAGTGGAATAGAGAAAGGACAGAGAAATATCGCTGTGTGAGAAACACATTGATTGGTTGCCTCCTGCACGGCTCCCTCCCCTCCGACTAGGGCCCAGGCTGGGAGGAGCCCGCAACCAAGGTATGTGCCCTTGACTGGAATCGAACCCGAGACCCTTCAGTCTCCAGGCTGGCGCTCCAGCCACTGAGCCAAATGGGCTTGGGCTAAAACCTATAGTGTTTTCTGACCAGGGTGACTCCCGTGTGCAGCCAGAAAAGAAAACGGACACCCGAGAGTTACTTCCTTTCTCCGCTAACACGCTGTCCCTGCAGCGGCTCCTGCCACTTCACCACATGACCTCAGTCCTCTGCGTGCTCCTGGGAGTCTGGTCCGGCCAGGCAGCGAGGAGCCAGCAGCGAGAGGCAGAGTCTGCCAGCGCCCACCCTCCCAGACTCACCGGGCCGACTTCAGCTGCACCTCCTCCTCCTCCTCGTCGTTGGGGTTGTACTCAGGCGGCTGCCGGTGCTTGGAAGCCAGGAAGTTAAACATGTCAAACGCCGACTTCCTGGAGCCAAGGGATTAGAGTACATTTAGAGAAATAACTCAATCGAAGCAACAGAAGACGCGAACACTGAACATCTGGTTATGTGGGAAAATATTACATCGTCAGGTAATAAACTCAGACCCCAAACTGCTTCCAGAAAAGGACGGGACTTGCCTCAGGTGCACCTCGGCCCGGGCTGAGCCGTGAGGGTTCAGGGGCGGCTCATTGGCCTCCTCCGGTTTGTGGAAGCGGAACTTGTAATTCCTACAGTGCTTGGCGCCCGACAGCTGCTCGGTCAGGAACACGACCGCGTCGTGCAGAATCCCCAGCATCCGCAAGCCATTCACACCTGCGGGCAGAGGCACGGTGAAGGGCAGAGCCGGTGTGCGCGGCGGCCACCGGCCCAGCCAGGGAGCACCCGCCAGGCCGCTCACGGGCGAGCTGAAGACCAGCTAGGAGTTCCATTAGATGGCCACCTGAATGACGCGGACACAGCCCTGGCCAGTGCGGCTCAGTTGGTTGAGCACCGTCCCATGCACTGAGAGGTCACCGGCTCAATTCCCAGTTAGGGTGCCTGCCCAGCTGGGGGGCTCAATCCCCAGGAGGGGGTGTGCAGGAGGCAGCTGATCAATGTTTCTCTCTCTCCCTTTCCTATCCCCTCCCTAAATCAATCAGACATTTTTAAAAAATAGTTTATTGATTTTCCACAGAGAGGAAGGGAGAAGGATATAGAGTTAGAAACATCGATCAGAGAAAAACCAAGATGGCGGCATAGGTTAACGCCAGAGATTGCTGCCTTGAACAACCAAATCAAAATACACCTAAAAGACGGAACGGACATCATCCAGAACTTCTCTCCGAGGTTTGCAGCGGTTGCTGGGACTCTGTGAGGCAGAGCCCCTAGGGACGGAACTGAGAGCTGCCATAACTGCTCGCTCCACCTGCCCTGTTGATCCCGAGCTACCCGCCCCGCCCAAGCCCTACGCAGAGCCATTTGCTAGATAGCCTCAGGCAAAGGCTAGATTAGCACCTCCCTAGAGGACAGAAGTTTTCCCACTGCAGACACAGCTAATTCTCACAGCCAGTTGGCCTGGAGGTCAAATCCTCCTAGTATTAACTACAACAATCAAGGCTTAACTACAGGAAGACTGCACACAAAGACCACTAGGTGGTGCACCAAGAAAGCATAAAAAATGCAGAGACAAAGAAACAGGCCAAACTGTCAATGGAGGATATTCAGTTCAGAACCACACTTTTAAGGTTTCTCAAGAACTGTCTAGAAGCCGCCGATAAAGTTATTGAGATCCTCAACAAATCTAATGAGACCCTTGATGTTATGATAAAGAACCAACTAGAAATTAAACATACACGGACTGAAATAACAAATATTATACAGACTCCCAACAGCAGACCAGAGGACTGCAAGAATCAAGGCAAAGATTTGAAATGCGAAGAAGCAAAAAACACCCAACCGGAAAAGCAAAATGAAAAAAGAATCCGAAAATACGAAGATAGTGTAAGGAACCTCTGGGACAGCTTCAAGCATACCAACATCAGAATTATAGGGGTGTCAGAAGATGAGAGAGAGCAAGATATTGAAAACCTATTTGAAGAAATAATGACAGAAAACTTCCCCTACCTGGTGAAAGAAATAGACTTACAAGTCCAGGAAGCACAGAGCATCCCAAACAAAAGGAATCCAAAGAGGACCACACCCAGACACATCATAATTAAAATGCCAAGAGCAAAAGACAAAGAGAGAATCTTAAAAGCAGCAAGAGAAATACAGTCAGTTACCTACAAGGGAGTACCCATACGACTGTCAGCTGATTTCTCAACAGAAACTTTGCAGGCCAGAAGGGAATGGCAAGAAATATTCAAAGTGATGAATACCAAGAACCTACAACCAAGATTACTTTATCCAGCAAAGCTATCATTCAGAACTGAAGGTCAGATAAAGAGCTTCACAGATAAGGAAAAGCTAAAGGAGTTCATCACCACCAAACCAGGATTATATGAAATGCTGAAAGGTATCCTTTAAGAAGAGGAAGAAGAAGAAAAAGGTAAAGGTACAAACTATGAACAACAAATACACATCTATCAACAAGTGAATCTAAAAATCTAGTGAATAAATAATCTGGTGATCATAATAGAATCAGGGACATAGAAAGGGAATGGACTGACTATTCTTGGGGGGGAAAGGGGTGTGGGAGATGCGGGAAGAGACTGGACAGGAGGGGAGTTATGGGGGGAAAAAGAGGAACAAATGTAATAATCTGAACAATAAAGATTTAATTAAAAAAAAAAAAAAAGAAACATCGATCAGCTGCCTCCTGCACACCCCCTACTGGGGATGTGCCCGCAACCAAGGTACATGCCCTTGACCGGAATCGAACCTGGGATCCTTCAGTTTGCAGGCCGACGCTCTATCCACTGAGCCAAACCAGTCAGGGCCAATCAAACATTTTTAAGTAAAATTATGCAAATACAGATCTATCAATATGGACAACATTCATGATAGATAAAGTGAAAACAGCAAATGAAAACTATGGACTCTTATCTCTGCTCTGTGTACACAGAGACACTATATGCATGACTTCACTTTATGGTCCTAGTGACCACAGCGGCCAGAGTCACTAGCTTCATCTCCAGAGAAGTAAACCGAGGCTCACAGAACGTAAACGCCACCCCCCGGCCACGCAGCTGACGTGGCCGAATCTGAGCCGTGGACGGTGTTACTCCAGCCAGGCTCCCTTTCTTTCTTTTTTTTAAATATGTTTTTATTCATTTCAGAGAGGAAGGGAGAGGGACAGAGATAGAAACATAAATGGCAAATAAGCTTCCTATTTAAACCAGTCAGGAGGTGGGGTTTCTGTAACTGGAGGGATAACGGTGACAGTGAGTCTAGAGAAGAGTGGTCACAGAAGGCTGAGGTCTGCAAGGACTACCGGAAGGCCATTCCCGGCTGAGGGCAGCAGGGCCCATGGTGTGCTAACGCGAAAGCACATGCACTGTCAGCAACGAGAAGTCCTTGGGATCCATGCTAACAACTCCGCCTTCGCGTTCCCAAGCCCAGAGGTTGTGGTTCATGAGCTGGGGGGTGGGAGCGGCCGGGGAGAGGTCAAAGGGGGAAAAAGGCGACTCGTGTAATACTTTAAACAATAAAGAATTTCAGTTAAAAAAAATGCTGCAATCAAAAGACATAGGGTTACCCTAGCCAGTTTGGCTCAGTGGATAGAGTGTTGGCCTGTGGGCTGAAGGGTCCCAGGTTCGATTCCAGGCAAGGGCACATGCCTGGGTTGCGGGCTCAATCCCCAGTGGGGGGTATGCAGGAGTGATCAATGATTCTCTCTCATCATTGACATTTCTCTCTCTCTCCCTTCCTCTCTGAAATTAATAATAATAGGGTCCCAGATTGCGAGAGGGCACAGGTCAGGCTGAGGGACCCCACCCACGCACAAATCCATGCACCGGCCTCTAGTCAATAATAAACTTAAATGTAAACATAGGTTATTATTGATCCAAAGACATAAAGTGGCTGAATGGATACAAAAACATGACCCAACTATATGCTCTACACAAGAGATCCATCTCAGAACAAAAGACTCACACAGAATGAGAGTGAAGGGATGGAAAAAATGTTCCATGCAAATGGAAAAGAAAAAAAAGCTGGGGTACCAATACTCATACCTGACAAAATAGACTTCAAAATGAAGGCTATCATAAGAGACAACAAAGGTCAATATATAGTACTAAAGGGATCAATCCAACAAGAACTTATAACTCTGGGAAATATATATGTACCCAATGTAGGAGCGCCTAATTACATACAGATGGAGTTAAGTGACATTGATAGAACATTTCACCCAAAGCTGCAAAATATACATTCTTCTCAAGTGCACATGGGTCATTCTCAAAGATAGACCACATGTTAGGACACAAAACAAGTCTCTAGTTCAGGAAGACTGAAATCATATCAAGCATCTTCTCAGATCACAGTGGAATGAAATTAGAACTCAACTACAGTAAAAACACCCAAACATTCAAAAACATGGAGGCTAAATAGCATGTTATTAAACAATGAATGGGTTTCCAATGAGATCAAGAAATAAGTAAAAAACCTTCCTTGAAAGAAATGAAAATGAATACACAATAACCCAAAATCTTGGACATAGCAAGAGCAGTCCTGAGAGGAAAGTTCATAGCACAGAGGCCTACTTCAAAAAACAAGAAAAATTAACAATAAACTATTTAATCCTACAACTTAAAGAACCAAAAAGAGAACAAGAAAAGCCAAGTAGAAGGAAGGAAATAATAAAGATTAGAGCAGAAATAACTGACAGACTAAAAAAAAAAATCAATGAAACCAAGCTGGTTCTTTGAAAGGATAAGATTGAGGAGCCATTAGTCAGACTCATAAGAAACAAAGACCCAAATAAATAAGATTAGAAACAAAAGCAGAGAAGTAACCACTGACACCACAGAAATACAAAGAATTTTAAGAAAATACTATGAACAACTATATGCCAACAAGCTGGACAATGTGGATGAAATGGACAAATTCCTAGAAAAATACAGTCTCCCAAAACTGAATCACGAACAATCAGAAAACCTGAATAGGCCAATAACAACTGAGGAAATAGAAGCAGTAACCAAAAAACTCCCAGCAAACACAAGTTTCACAGGGGAGTTTTACCAAACATTCAATGAAAAACTAACACCTGTCCTCCTCAAACTATTCCAAAAAACTCCAAGAGGAAGGAACACTTCCAAGCTCTTTTTATGAGGCCAGCATTACCCTAATTCCAGAACCAGATAAAGTCACTACAAAGAAGGAGAATTACAGGCCAATATCCCTGATGAACACAGCTCTAAAATCCTCATCCCACCTGGTCATGATGTTTGATGTCTTTATTGTATCGCTGGACCTGGTTTGCTAAAATTTTGTCAAGGACTTTACTGTCCAGGTTCATCAGGGATATTGGCCTGTAGTTCTTTTTCTTTTTCCAATATATTTTATTGATATTTTACAGAGAGGGAGAGAGATAAAGAGTTAGAAACATCGATTAGAGAGAAACATTGATCAGCTGCCTCCTTGATGCCCCCTACTGGGGATGTGCCCGCAACCAAGGTACATGCCTTTAGCCGGGATCGAACCCGGGACCCTTCAGTCCGCAGGCCAATGCTCTATCCACTGAGCCAAACCAGTTAGGGCCCAACACCCATTTTTGATAAAAACTCAGCAAAGTTGGAATACAGTGATCATATCTCAACATAATAAAGGCCATACATGACAAACCTACAGCCAACATCATACTCGATGGGAAAAAATGAAAACCATTTCCCCTAAGCACAGGAACAAGACAGGGATGTCTGCTTTCACGACTCTTACTCAACTGAAAATCCTAGCCACAGTGATCAGACAAGAAGAAATAAAAGGCATCCAAATTGGAAAGGAGGAAGTCTAACTGTTCTTATTCGCAGATGACATGATATTGTAATAGAAAACACTAAAGACTCCACCAAAAAACTACTAGATTTAATAAATGAATTTGGCAATGTAGCGGGATACAAAATCAACACACCCAGAAATTGATTTTTTTTAATACACCAATAATGAATTCTTAGAAAGAGACACTAAACAAATAATCCCATTTACCATTGCAACAAAAAAAGTAAGGTAATTAGGAATAAACTTAACCAAGGCGGTAAAAGACTTGTACTCAGAAAACTACAATTAATATTAATTAATATTTGATAAAGGAGGCAAGAATATACAATGGAGTCAAGAGAGTCTCTTCAATAAATGGTGTGGGGAAAATTGGGCAGATACATGCAAAATATTGGAACTAGAGACCACCAACTTACACGATACACAAGAATAAGCTCAAAATGGATAAAAGACTTAAATGTAAGTCAAGTCGTGAAACCATAAATATCCTAAGAGAAACCAAAGGCAGCAAAATGTCAGACATCTCTCATAGCAATATGCTTACCAATACATCTCCTAGGGCAAAGGAAACTGAGAAAACAAACAAATGGGACGTCAAAATGAAAAGCTTCCACACAGCAAAAGAAATAATCGCCAAAACGAAAAGGGAGCCCCCTGTGTGGGAGAACATATTTGGCAATGATACATCTGGTAAAGGGTTAATACCCAAACTATATAAGGAACTCATACAACTTAACAGAAGGAAGATAAACAATCCAATTAAAAAATGGCAAAGCACCCAAATAGGCATTTCTCCAAAGTGGACATACAGAAGGCTAAGAGACATATGAAAAAAAGCTCAAAGTCACTGATTATCAGAGAGATGCAAATGAAACAATAATGAGGTATCACCTCACACCTGTCAGAATGGCTACCATCAACAAATCAACAAATGACAAGTGCTGGCAAGGATGTGGAGAAAGCGAACCCTCCTGCACTGCTGGTGGGAATGCAGACTGGTGAGCCACTGTGGAGAACAGTATGGAGTTTCCTCTAAAAATTAAATATGAAACTCCCATTTGACCCTGTGATCCCACTTCTAGAAATATATCTTAAGAGACCCGAAGCACCACACAAAGAATGTATGCGCCCCTATGTTCATAGCAGCACAATTTACAATATCTAAATGCCCATCAGTAGATGAGTGGGTAAAAAACTGTGGGAAATACTTTCAATAATAAAGGTTAAAAAAAGAGAAGATGCTATAAAAAGTGCTAATATTCACTAATTTCCCTGAATTCGGTTTCAAATCCCTTCAGTCAGGATGATGCTCTTCACTGGCACATGAGGTACATTCGGGCACATAAATACACAGCTACATGTAAATGAAGAGCTGCCAATAATGCAAGACTCATTATATATATATTTCTTAATATTCCTTTATTGATTTCAGAGAGGAAGGGAGAGGGTGGGGGAGGGAGAGAGAGGGAGAGGGAGAGGAGGAATGGGGGGGAACATCAATGATGAGAGAGAATCACCGATCGGCTGCCTCCAGCACGTCCCCTACTGGCAAGCCCACAACCCAGGCATGTGCCCTTGACTGGAATCGAACCCGAGACCCTCCAGTCCGCACCGCAGGCCAACGCTCTATCCACTGAGCCAAACCAGCTAGGGCAGGTTCATTATTTTAATTAATCCTCACAACGAAGATCGAAAGTTGGATTAATATTAGGACCTTATAGATACGGAGATCCAGACTCAGAGAAGTTAGTTAGCTGCAAACAATTTAATATCAATAGCAACAGGGCAGAAATAGAGCTTGAACTCAGTTCTATCTGCCTCCAGAGCTCAGGGTTTCTTAGATTGCATAATGCAGCACAAGACATGGATAAACCAAAGAAATCTTTGTGCCACTAGAGAAAGAAAGGGCCAGACTATTCTCCTCTGAGGAGAACACTGAGCCAAACCCTCCGGTAGATTACACATTACCAATGACTAGTTCAGAACAACTAAGGACGCATTTAATTATAGTTCATCCAGTGACAACCAGCTGGTCAGAGACAGACCCATGAACCCTCTTTTCTTGCCCCCAAATATCTCCCTCACCATCTGCAAAAATGGGAGGACACTATCCATAGAGTAAAAAGTCACAGAATGAGAGCAATTATTTGCAAACATGTATCTAATAAGGGATTAAATTAAGTAAGCCAAGTGTCCATCAACAATCAATGGATAAGCAAAATGTAAAATACGGACACAGTAAAATATTATTCAACCTTAAAAAGTAAATCCTGACATATACTACAACATGGATGAACTTTGAGGACATTACGGTAAGTGAAATAAGAAAGTCACAAACTGTATGATTACATAAGGTGCTTAGAGTAATCCAACTCACAAAGCCAGGAAACACAATGGTGGTGGCCAGGGGCCGGGCGAGAAGACTGAAGAGTGACAGGTGGCCACGGCTGTATAACACTGAGAATGTAGTCACCACCACTGAATTTCTACACTCCAAAATCGTTAAGACGGTAAATTTTACGTGTATTCTCCCAAAATTCATTTGTTAATAAAAAAAAAAAAAAAGGATGGGAGTGCTGAGGCCACGTTACAGCAGAGCACGGTATTAAATGAAGGAAGGCAGCCCCAGAAGGCCACATACTGTACGATTCCTTCTTTTTGCACTGGATGCACTATAATTAAATTTGAACAGTTGTTCTGAACTCATTACCCCTCTAGCTGGACAGCCTAGCCCTGTCCCACGTACGAAATACACAGCAAACCCACCGACACAGAAAGTGGATTCGTAGCTGCCAGGGGCTGGAGCTGAGCAATGACTGCTGATGGGCACGAGGTTGCTCTTGGCGATAACGGAAATGTCCTGGCGTGACACAGACAGGACCTCTGTCCTTGGTGAGCATACTCAAAGCCCCCGAACTGTGTGCTTTACAGGGTGAACGTACAGTGAAAGAATACCATCTCAGTAAAGTTGTGAAAATTCATTTTTAAAAAAAGAATGTTGCTGTGGTTTTTGTTTTGTTTTTAGAATCAACTCTGTAACGTAGACCAAGCTACCGGCACATTCTGAGACAGGAGCAGAACGAGCGTACGAGCCGTTACCTGCAAACGACAGCTGCTTTAGCCGGGCATTGGACCGCGCTTCCTGGACTTTGTCTGTCAGCGACTTCCAGGCATCTGTGAGGAGAGACAACGTTCCAGCAGGCGCCAGCACCGCTCCCAGAATCCCGCGGCGGAAGCGCGCTCCTGCTGCGGCAGGTTTTGTCTGGGAGTTCCAATCAGTTCCGTGCGTGAGAAGCTGAGAGGGAATGTCTCTTTCTCGAGAAAGGACAGAGGCAGCGAGGGGATCCAGACCGCCTGAAACGACGAGTCCCCAAAGCACTGCCACCCGCGATGGCACCTGGACCCTAACCCGAGCGCTGGTGTTACCTCTGTTCCCTACGCTGACCGATGCAGTAACAATGAACAACTGAACCAAGACTGGGGATGCCATGACCTCTCAGCGCCTGACAATGACGGCTGTAACTGGAAACCTGCACAGTCCCCCTCAGCTGGCCCCGAAGGTCCCATCGTCTCTCACTGTCACAGAAGTGAGTGTGGAGTGTGGGGAGCAATCCATGTGGATTTCAGACTCAGTCTAGTTCTCTTAACATTTTTCTTTCTTTCTTTTTTCGTTTTCCTCACCTGAGGACATTTTTCCATTAGTCTTTTAGAGAGAGTGGAAAAGAGAGGGAAAGACAGAGAGAAACATCAATGTCAGAGAAACACATCGATTATCGATTGATTGCCTCCTTTGAGTGCCCTGAACAGGGAAAGGGCCAAGGAGGAGCCTGCAACCAAGGTATGTGCCCTCAACTGGAATCGAACCCAGGACCCTTTGGTCCGCAGGCCAGCACTCTACCCACTGAGCAACACCAGCTCGGGCTTTCATGTTTTGATAACTCTCGCTGACCCACAGTGACCTTTCTTCCCCCTGAAACTCCTCCAGTACCTGTTGCCTACAGCACATTCACTAGTCCTTCAACAGCTAATGAACAGCTACGTTAGGGGCACAAAAATGTTAAATCTATATCTAAGAAAGCCCAGCGACTGTTATGGCACAACCAGGACAACCGGTCGCTATGATGCACACTGACTACCAGGGGGCAGATGCTCAACGCAGGAGCTACCCCCTGGTGGTCAGTGCGCTCCCACAGCGGGAGTCCGCTCAGCCAGAAGCCAGGCTCAGGACCAGTTTGCAGGCCCTCAGTGTTGTGCAGTAAGTGCAGCGGCGGTGGCGGGAGCCTGTGCTACTTCCGGGGCAGCGCTAAGGAATGGCGAGCCAAGCGGTAAGGAGCGAGCAGGCAAGGAGCGAGCAGGCGGGTGGTTAGGAGCAAGGGGTCCTAGAGTGTGAGAGGGCTGGATTGCAAGAGGGTGCAGGCCAGGCTGATCCCCACCCCCCCACACCCGCGTGAATTTTGTGTATCAGGTCTCTAGGAAGAACATAAGCTTCAAACCCTTCCGGGAAGCTGCCTGCTGAGTAAGACATAAAAGTAAACAAACGTTTATGGAGGTGAGGGAGGACAGCATTCAAGATGTACAGGAAGGCCCTGGCCGGCTTGGCTCAGTGGATACAGCATTGGCCTGGGGACTAAAGGGTGCCAGGTTTGATTCTGGTCAAGGCACATGCCCGGGTTGGGAGCTCAATCCCAAGTGGGGGGCGTGCAGGAGGCAGCCGGTCAACAATTCTCTTCTCTCATCATCAATCTTTCTTCCCTCTCTCTCTCCCCCCGCTCCCTTCCTCTCTGAAATCAATTTAAAAAAGAAGAAAGAAAGAAACAACAAAACAGGAAGTGGTAGGAGAAAAGTGAGAGAGACAAGCAGAGATCTCATGTGCTATGCAGGGTGTATGTAACATTCAAAACATAATCTGTATCCCTAACTCTTCCCATAAACCACGGACTGTTTCTCAAGAACACTAACTTCTAAGGACAAACCACATGTGCAAAGCCCCCACACCTCCCAGCACAGCTGCACAGCGCTGCCCTGGGGCAGCCCGAGCAATCCACTCGCCTTCAATGCTCTCCGCACAGATCTGGAAGCCGTCGTCACTGGAAATTTCAAACACCAGGCCTTTCTTGGGCTTTTTCTCGGTGATGCTTTCCTTGCGCTTCTGTTCCTGCTGCAGCCAGAGCATGAGTGGCGAGCTGAAGCCTCCGTCCTCCTCCTCCGCCGCCTTCGGGTCTGCGAGGGAGAGCGCAGAGCGTCGGCGGCTGCAGCAGGCCCGGGCAGCCCAGACTATGCATACCGTGGCGAAGCCAGCGGCATCCAGAACAGGGATCATCCCACTGACAGGCAATCAAACGGAGTCTCAAGGAGGTGAGCTCGCTGCTCGGGCCATCGCTACACACGACTACCAGTAAAACTAGAAATGGTCTTAACACCGAGCCATGCTCTTTGTGGCAGTTTCTAGTATGACAATTTGATAGTTTTTCAGTAAGTGACTGCCCTCTGTAGGTTAAAGTAAAAAATGACACTGCTAACGTGTATGAAGCAGTATGTGCCAGGCACTCTCCTACGCTCTCAGGCACGTTCCCTAGATTGTAACTCACCAACCTCACAAAAGTCCGATGAGTAGGTGAGGGAACTGAGGCAGAGAGAGCTCAGTGGCCTAGCGCCCAGGGTCGGGCAGCCAAGAGGGTAACGCCGCGCCTGAACTCCTGCGGCACAGCGCTGCATGGTCGGCCCCTGCTGTCCTCCCACACAGAGACCGACCCACCTTCTCGAGGATCAGCAAGGCAGCAGTGTTCCCACACCCCAAAGCTGGTGTCCAAGCAGTTTCCCCACCGGGTTCTCCTCTGGGGAAGACAGGCCCTTTAATGGAAACGGGCAAAGCCTGACCCCAGAGCTCCCCAATCGGAACAACGTGACCTGCTGTTTACTGACCAATCAGCAGGGCAGACCGTGAGGGCTCTGGAGACGTATCTGGCGGCACAGCCGAATCTGGCTAGCTTACAGAGTAAGAATGCTTCCTGGCTTTCTTCAGTGACAACCAGGGGTGAATGAAGTCAGGTTATCATGAGCTATTTATTTACTTTTTATTTTTGTTATTTTTTAATTCTCACCCAAGGATATTTTTCCATTAATTTTAAAGAAAGGGAAAGACAGAGAGAAATATTGATGTGAAAGAATCACATCGATTGGCTGCTTCCTGCATGAGCCGCGACCATGGCACGGGTTGGGGAGGAGCCTGCAACTGAGGTCCGTGCCCTTGATCGGGATCAAACCCGGGACTCTTTGGTCTGCAGGCCGACGCTCTATCCACTGAACCACACCGGCCCGGGCACACTAGCTACTTGCACCATACTGCTATTAAAGCAAGTCGAGCAGGAGTATAGTTAAAGGCTTCCGTCTTGTGTCCTTTCCTTGACAGACGGCCACAGAATATGTAGTGGATGAGCACGGGACGGAAAGATGCTGTGAGGCTCAGGCCACAGTTTGTTCCCTCACTTCACTCTGTGTGACTGTTGGGGGGGAGAGGGGGAAGGGTTTAAATCTAGAAAAACCAGTAGGTAACGTAGGTGATTTTTACAGCACGTTTGGCTGTGAAATTCTGATTGGGACCAGTTACCCATCCACATACCTGTGCTTTCTTGTTCATTTGCTGGATTTTGTGTTGTCTGAACCTCAGGAAGAACAGCCATTTGCCTAAAAAACACACATACACACACAAAAACAACCCAAAACACAAGTGTGAGATTTATCAGCGAGGACTTCAGTTCAAACCTAAAGCTGTGTCAGTCCCACAAAGCCCCTGCCGGAGACCAGCCCCTGAACGAGGAGCACCACCCGCTACCGTGCGGCACCGACAGAAAGCCATCTTCTAGGCCGGTGGTCGGCAAGCTCGTCAGCCAACGGAGCCAAATATCAACAGGACAACGACTGACATTTCTGCTGAGCCAAATTTTTTAAACTTAAACTTAAACTAGGTAGGTACATTGTTATTAACTTAATTAGGGTCCTCCTAAGCTGGCCTTTGCCAAAAACGTCCTCAATCTGATTGAGGTACGTTCACTGAGGTTGACCCCTTCCAACTCTCCCATCCACACTCGTCTTGTGTATTTGTTTCATCGATCTCCTTTCTGAAAACCGACTTCTGCGTGTGGGCCACGAAGTTTCAATTGCACTGTACGTGTGCGCCCACACGTGGCATTTTGTGGAAGAGCCACATTCAAGGGGCCAAAGAGCCGCATGTGGCTTGCAAGCCGCGGTTTGCCAACCACTGTTCTGACATTAAATACTGACATTAAATTTTTATTTATTTATTTTGTTAATACTCAACCAAGGCTATTTTTCCATTGATTTTTTAGAGTGGAAGGGGGAAAGAGAGAGAGAGACAGAGAGAAACATCGATGTGAGAGAGACACATCGATTGGTTGCCTCCGTACACACACCGACCAGGGCTGAGGAACCTGCATCCGAGGTACATGCCCTTGACCGGAATCGAACCCGCAGGCCAATGCTCCATCCACTGAGCCAAACTGGCTAGGGCGACATTCAGCTTTTACTTTTGGGGTTGTAGATTGTGTCCTTACATTTTTTCTCACCCTTAGTATTGGGAAAAGGATTAAAGAACACTTGCTAGAAGCAGTTCTGGAATCACTTAAGAGCAGCTTAAAGTTGGCTGCTTTTGGTTGCTTCCCACAATGGGCCCCAACCGGGGACTGAACCCGCAACAGTGAAATATATACTAAAGGGGATAGTTAGGTAAATTACTGTAGATCACACACGGGAGCCAGAGGCCGCCATTAAAATATAAAGTGCATCTATAAACACTGTACAGAAATGCGCACACAATATGGTAAGCAATAAAACCAGGTAAAGAACAGTATGTACAGCATTACTCATTCTATGTAAAAAGAAGTATATACATGTCCTTATGTATGCCACATATATCTGTGTATGCATACAAAGGTCTCCCAGCCCGGCCGGTGTGGCTCAGTGGTTGAGCAGCAACCTATCAACCAGGAGGTCAGGGTCTGGTTCCTGGTCAGGGCACATGCCCAGGTTGTGGTCTCCATCGCCAGTAGGGGGCATGGAAGAGGCAATGTTTCTCTCATTGATGCTTCAATCTCTATATCCCTCTTTAATTCAAATCAAGAAAAACGTATTTTAAAAAATGTCACCATGGATGAAAACAAATTGTTAGCAATGTTACCTCTAAGGAACAGATTGGGATGGGGTTAGGCAGGATGAAGAGGGAACCATTATCCATTATTTAAATAATCCTATACTGTATGACTTTTACTAAAGGAACTCTGGCACCCTGGCCGAGTGGCTCAGTTGGCTGGAGTATCGTCCTGTGCACAAAAGGGTGGCAGGTTTGATTCCTGGTCAGGGCACATGCCTGGGTTGCGGATTCGATGCCTGGTCGGGTAGCGTGCGAGAGGCACCAGATCATGATTCCCACATGGATGTCTCTCTCTCCCAAATCAATAAACATTTTCTGTAGTGAGGATCAGAACACACGGCCACACAGAGCCACACACACAGGCTCTGGTGAGGATCAGAACACACGGCCACACAGATCCACACGCACAGGCTCTGGAGAGGGTCAGGACACACGGCCACACAGATCCACACGCACAGGCTCTGGTGAGGATCAGGACACACGGCCACACAGATCCACACGCACAGGCTCTGGAGAGGGTCAGAACACACGGCCACACAGATCCACACGCACAGGCTCTGGTGAGGGTCAGAACACACGGCCACACAGATCCACACACACAGGCTCTGGTGAGGGTCAGAACACAAGGCCACACACGCAGGAAGAAGGGTGTTTGATGAGGACTTGGTCTTGGAGACCTTCCTCTGCTCACCCCGGGGGCTGCCCACACTCCTGTGCCGCCGGCTCCCCATCAGCCGTGTCCTGCTGCTCGGCCTCTGCTGCGGGGGCCCTGAAACAGAACCGTTAGCACGTATGCACCAGGGTGGGGGTCAGGCCACAGAAACGACAGTCGGGCTCTGGTAACCTCGTGAGCGGAACCCCAGCCCGTGGCGATGCAGGGGTGTGGGTGCCCTGCCCACGGGACCAGGAGTCTCTGGAGCACTAGGGAGGTTCTCTATCTCGATCTGAATGGTGGCTCCCTGGGCGCATACGTATGTAACGTTCACTTGTGCACATCAGACACGTTACACTCTGGGCAGGAATAACCATCCCTCCGCCTCAGCAGAGAGGCAACAGCAGCCAAACAGCACCAGCAGCGGCTCCGTGTTACGTCAGCCGAGCAGAGACGTGGCTCTATGCAGGAGACCCACTGCTCACGAAGGCATTGACGTTTGCTCTATACGTCACCACCATGGGTGAAAAAACAATCATTTAAAACCCAGAAAACACCTGAGCCCTGCAAAGGGCAGAAGGCTGTCCCCCTCACAGATAGCCCCCCCCAATCCCCAGCCTCTGCTCGGGGCCCGGCCCCCAGACCCCGCACGGCGACACTGGCTCTCACCCTGTGGACGAGGTCAGGCAGGACGTGGGGGCCTCCTGGTCTGGAACGTGTGCTTCCGAGGAGCTGGTCCGCAGGTGAGAAACCTTGTGCTTCTTGCCATTCCCTTTGTCCAAAGGCAGCTGGATGCGCTTGCTTTTTGGTTTGGGGTGAGCGCCTGGCACGGAGGGGCTTGCGGACTGGGGTCCGGAGGGAGAGCCCGCAGGGGAGGCCGCACGGGCCTGTCCGGCAGAGGAGGCCGCCCTCTTTGGCTCCAGCCCCAGGCTGTTAGGAGCGTCTGCTGTTTGCGCCAAGCCCGGCCCCTGGGTCCCTGGAGCAGCTTCAGGATCCCGCTGGGAAGGGAGAATTCCCGCTTTGCTGGCCAGGAGCTGGCTCACATGCTGAAGCTGATAGTGATCTTCAGCGTCTCTGGAGGGGGAGGCGGCCGCTAGGACCCCTGTCTGAGTCGAGGGGAGGACGCAGACGCCGGATGCAGCCGTCATCGCCGTGGTAGAGGGGGTCTGCAGCGACCCCAGCTGGGGAAATACTCCCGAGCTGGGCGGCAGAGCCCCGGCCTGGTCCTGGATCCCCAGGCCCTGCTGGCTGGTTTTAATCAACAGGTTGCTTATGGGGCCAGCGTCTGGGGCACCCAGCAACCGCGGGTTGGTCAACGCAACATGTCCCGGAACCGACGCACTACTCGTAGGGGCTGTTGTCGTTTGCATGGATACGACATTCAAGACCGAGGAACCGGATGCCAAGCCGGCCACGGGCCCCGAAGCGAGGTGGCCAGTGTCCTGGCTCCCGGTCGACGTGCCCGTCGCTGTGGCAGGTCCGCCCACCGTCTGTGGTAACAGGGGTGCCTGTTCAAAATACATGACGCCGGACTTAGACCTTTTTATGATGTTGGGAACAGTCCGGTGAGATGACGTGTTAAGTGACCCCAAATCTAACAGGTTGGGGTGATTTGGAAGCTGGGAGGGTGTGAAGTTAATCAGTGTCATGTTAGAAACCACATCGGAGGGGGCAATGTTTGAAGGGGCGCTAGAGGGAGCAAGCTTCTTATTCTTTCGGGTCTGCAGGCGAGATATGGGTCTTTTCTTGAGTCCAGAGGACGGAGTGACTACCGTGGTGCTGAGGTCTGTCCTCTGGCTGGCTTCAGACACCAGAAGTTGGGGATCTGGAGGAGGCTGCACCCCAATGAGCAGGCCTGGAGGAGAACTGCTGATGGTGGGCGGGAAACTGCCCTGAGCGGCTGTGGGGAAGGGGTGTAAGTGCTGGTGGTGAGGCACGGGCAGCAAGCCTTTGCCAGCGGGAGGGAAAAGAGGCTGAGGTGCCTGCAAGCCTGGGGTTAGCCCCGTGGTCAGCGCGAGGCCACCGCCCATGGGCCCCAGCACGGAAGGGTTTGCCTCCATCACGCCAGGTGCGGGACTAACGGAAGAGGTCAGCTGGATTTTCTGGGTCACGCCGTTGGGCAGCGTCTGGAGCACGTAAAGCGGCTGCATGTTCTGGTTAACGACAATGAGCTTCTCGGTGGGCGGCTTCAGGTGGGGAGGCGTGGTCTGCACGGCCGCATTCGAGATCTGAGATGGGCCGGGGCTCCCGGCGGAACTGGGCCCGTATTTCTGGTTCTGGATGGGCACAGAGGGGGAAGCCGGTACCTGGAGGCCAGGGGTGCCGCTGCTCCGAGTTAAATCCTGACTGCTGCCACGGCTCTGCTCCACTGCGCCGCACGGGGGGCTGGCGAGGTCGGCGTCCATGTGTCCCTGGATGAATCGGTCGGGAGTCATGTGGCCTTCGGGCGCGGGTTCGACTCCCGGGCTCAGCAGCGCCGGGTCATCCTCGGAGGCGGCCACGGGCTTCTCCGGGATGGCGACTCTCTTCTCCGCTGCGTCGGCGATGACGGCCAGCCTGCCGGGGTTCTGGCCGGGGACCGTGGGGCTCCGCGTGGTCAGCACCGAGAGGTCGGACGGCAGCTCCAGCGGCAGCTCGAACTGCTCTTCGGCCGAGATGGACGAAGAGACGCTGCTGTCCACAGGCTCCGCGGTCGGCAGCTGCTGAGAAAACACTTCGAACAGACCCATGTCCTTCTCACGGTTGCTGTCGAGGCCCAGGCCCTCGCCCAGGTTCAGGAGCTCCGAGGACGAGGACTCCGGGCTCTCCCCCAAGGCCTGCATGGAGGGCGTGTTCTTCAGGACGAAGTCCATGATGTCCGAGGGCAGGATGTTCCCGCAGTCGTCGCTGTTGTTGTTGTCGGAGTCCGACTTCAGGAGCTCGGGGTTGTAGGTGTCCAGCAAGGCCTTGTCCGAGGGGGCGCTGGGGTGGACCCTGCGGCTGGACTCCAAGGAGCTGAGCTGAGCCTCCAGGGAGTCCTGCCCCTGGGCCTTCCCTCGGCTCACCGAGTGGCAGTTCTCCGCCTTGGGCTCGCTTTTGTGGCCCACAGAACTCTTGATGACATGTTCCTTCTCCCCGTCTTCGGGCCGGTCCAGCTTGAGGCTCTCTGTCCCATTCTCTTTCCCGTTTCTTTTTGGAATCTGGCCGGTCTTCCTGGTGGTGGCCGTGACACTGGTATCACTCTCTGTGCCGTCGTCAACACCATCCAGCTGTGAGATTCTCGGGAGATCACACTGCTCCTCCTCCCGAAACAGGCTGTGGGCCGCCAGCCGCTCCTCCGCGCCCGCCGCGATCACCGTCCGGGTGAAGTTGTAGTAGTACAGGTCGTCCTCGTCGGAAGTGCTCAGGTCATCAGCCCCGTCCACCTGCCCTTCGGCTGACCTCTTGCCTCGTTTCTTCCCCGTTGAGCTGCTGTAGAACGGAAGGTCTTCTTCCCCGTAGGACCGGACTCCGTAGAGGGGGGTGAGCCCGAAGAACATGTTGGAGCGGGCCCGGGCGCTCCGACGGGGGTACCTCCTTTTGAAAGACCCGTCCTCCTGGGGTTTGGGGCCGTCAGGAAGCATGAGGTTCCTCTCCTGGCCGGGAAGAGTCTGGTAGCTGTTGCCCGGAGGCTCCTGGGAGGCGGTGCTGGGGCGTGGCTCGGCCCCTGGCCCAGCTCCTGGACTCCCGGAGGCTGGCACGGGCTCTGCCGGCGAGGCTGACTCCACGTGCAGAGGGGAAGCGGGGCTGCTTTCCTTCAGGGCATTTCTGGACTGACTCTCACCTTCCATCTTCAGGGGTGTCAGTGTGACTTTGACCGTGCGTTTTCGGGGTGTCTGTAATTCCGTGGCAGGGCCTTCTCCTTGCACTGATGGAGCTTTGGGGACTCCAGGAGCAGCAAGGACTTTGTCCCCAATCTTATCAGAAGACACATTGTTACATGGCCGTTGCCCTGGAAACTCAGGAGTCAAACCTTCATCTGCAAACTCCGCCTTTAGATGTCCTTCCTCACCAGCGGCGACCTGACCAGGCTCCAGGAAGGACTTACTGGAGCGCTTTTCTTTGAAGGTTTCTTTACAAGACTTTTTCCCTTTCTGTCTCCTGTCTCTGGAGCTAGATCCGACCTGTTCGTTGATGATAGATGATCGGTGGCTCACCCCTGACAGCTTCGAGGTTTTGGCGTCCGTGTCGCCCTCGGCGGGGGAACTCCCTGCCTGGGTGGGGTCTGGATGTGGGTCCCAGTCGTTCCTCTGCCCTCTCGGATGGAGTGGTGGGAGGGGGAGGGCCTCTCTGGAGGAAAACGGCACCGAAGAGAATTCCACGAACGTGCCCGTTTTACCAACATTTGGCTGGCCAGATGGTGGACTATGACGCTGCGGAGCCGGCTTAGGGGGGCCGGGGTGGGCCGCATCATGAGCAGAGCCCTCGGGACTCTTGGAACTCAGCATCTTGGTCTTCTCCCCTTTCAAAGAGGAGCTGCTGGAGGCCAGGTCTGAAGCGCTGGGGTGCTTCATTTCTGAAGCTGAAGAGCCATCCACGTGACTGGTTTTGGTGGCCATCATCACCACTGTCCTCTGCAAACTGGAAGAGGTGGGAGTGTTTTGCCTTAAGTTGGTATTTGAAGTCAGTGACCCTAAGACATGATCCACTGCTTTGGCACTTGACTCCAGGTCCGCAGTGGCCCCCGGGGTGGAGACGGAGGAGCCACTGTTCTTGGAGTAAGTGCTCCCCGTTCTCACTGGAGACATCATCCGGAGTCTCGACTGCTGGGGTGCTGAGGAAGGAGTACTGTGCCGCCTGGAGCCGATGCTTCGGAGCCCCGAGGAGAGTAAAGGGTCACCCACCGTGACGATTTCGTGAGTGGTTGGAGTAGGGTTTCCTAAAGGAGAGAGAGTGACAAAGTCTATTACAGACAGAACTGTGGGTAGCCACTGGCTTAAGTCTTGGCTACATCTATTTATAGGTAACGAAAAGTCAACATTTTCAGTAAGTGTAAGTCACTAAAATAAAATGGCCTGAAAAAAATTACAAATTCCCGTCTGAGCTGACCTTGGAGTCAATGAAACCCTTTACCTGCAGAAGGCAGTGGCCGACAGCCAGGGGACCTCTGTGTTGGAGAATAACTGGGTGTTCGAATCCTAGGAACCTTTGAGATGACATGATAAAAACAGGAACCAGAGGTTTGCGTATGAGGAGGTCGGTCTGGTGATGAAGGACTTACAATTTCAGCTGCGTTTTGACTTTCTTTAGATGACATTTCTGTGGTAGGATATAAAAACCCTTACTAAAAACAGTCCAATTAAGGTATCAAACAAATGGCCCAATAAAAAACCAGCTGTTAAGGAAATTTTCAAATGAGACCTCCCAAAGAAGTGACATTCTCTGCATGCTTCAATCCCAGGATTCCCAAAAGTCTCATTCAAGTGACACCTTGACTAAAGACCAACCTGCAAAAGATGTTGGACTGTGGGCAATGGTCCTGTTTTCATCATGCTCGACGGTGCTGTTGATGTCTGGCTCCACGGCCGGCGGGCGGCACTCCACGATCTTGCACGTGTACACGCAGCGCTTGCGGGCGTCCGTGGTGCTCCAGTACACTCGGGAACACCTGCGAAGGTTTGTCGGGACCAGCAGAGGTGAGGGTCCAGGAGCAAAGACTAACATTTGTCAAAACCTCTTCTTATCCTAGATCCCCTGGTCTCCGTGATTTATAGAATTTAGCTTTCTTTCCTGGACTTTTACAGATTTCCCAAACTAGGATGTTCCAAGCTTTCTATTTTATTAAAAAAATATTTTTATTGATTTCAGATGAAGAGAGAGGAAGAGCGAGATAGGAATATCAATGATGAGAGAAAATCACTGATCAGCTGCCTCCTACATGGCCCCTCCTGGGGATCGAGCCCCTAACTTGGCATGAACGCTCGACCGGAAAGGAACTTGGTCCCTCCAGTCTGCAGGCTGACGCTCTACCCACTGAGCAACTGTTCCAAGGCAGAATGTTCCAAGCTTTTCAAAGTCCTTGTTTTCTCCTCGTCTCTCAGAAACCAACATCAAATCTTTTTTTTAAAAAAAGTGTATTCTAAGCAGGGGATGAAAGCAGTAAAGTGTCCTAAAATGCAGAGAAAAAAATACTAACTCCTGCAAGAAACAGTATCGGCCCTCAGGAGGGACCACTGGCCCACAGTATGTACACAGCGAGGAAAGAGCAAACTCGAGATGTCTCCTTTGGGAGAGACACCCCAGGGACAAGGGAAGTGTAGCTGCTTCAGACATGCTGGATGCTGGGGGAGCCTCGTTCACACAAGAAGTTGCCAGCTAAGTACGGAACGTACACTGTCGTCAGAATTGGGATGCGGACTAAGCTGAAGTATATATAGCAAAATAGGACCCTGAAGGGGGAGCAACAGAAAGGGAATTTTCAATTTATACTGTCAGCTTGTTAGAAGTTTAAACAATTTATTGCACATGGGAAAGATTATAAATTCCTACTGGAGAACCTGATTACTTCTGTGGGGGTTGTATTTTTAGAAGGACTGGAAAATGGAAACCTGAGGACAGAGGCACAAGGTGTGTGTGACCCATGACAGCAATCTTGACTTCTGAACCCACATGAATGGAACCTCAAGACACTGACACCGTGTTTTCTATTTAGATTTTATTTATAAACTAGAGGCCTGGTACACAGATTCACGCACTGGTGGGGTCCCTCGGCCTGGCCTGCGCCCTCTCACAATCCAGGACCCCCCCACCAGGGGATGTCGGACTGCCAGTTTCAGCCCGATCCCCGTAGGCCAGGCCGAGGGACCCCACCAGTGCACGAATCAGTGCACCAGGCTTCTAGTATGTATATAAGATTTTTGGTTAATCTCTTTCCATCCTCCCTCCTCCCCACTGAGATTCATCAGTCTGTTCCATGTTTCCATTCCTGTGCATTGAGCGCCTGCCCCCTGGTGTTCAGTGTGCATCATAGCTACTGGTCAAACAGTCGCTTAGGCTTTTATATACATAGATTATTCTGAAAAACAATTTTTTAAAAAAATTTAAACATAGCTAGCTGGTGTACAACAGCATATCAGTAATATTAGTTTCAGGTGTACACTATAGTGATTTAACTTTTTTTTAAAAAAATGTTTAACTTTATTTTATTGATTTTAGAGAGATGAAGAGATAAAGAGAGAAAAACATCGATTTGCGGACCCCACCAGTGCACGAATCAGTGCACCAGGCTTCTAGTATGTATATAAGATTTTTGGTTAATCTCTTTCCATCCTCCCTCCTCCCCCCTGAGATTCATCAGTCTGTTCCATGTTTCCATTCCTGTGCATTGAGCGTCTGCCCCCTGGTGTTCAGTGTGCATCATATACTGGTCAACCAGTTTTTTGGTCTTCACAGTCGCTTAGGCTTTTATATACATAGATTATTCTGAAAAACAATTTTTTAAAAAAATTTAAACATAGCTAGCTGGTGTACAACAGCATATCAGTAATATTAGTTTCAGGTGTACACTATAGTGATTTAACTTTTTTTAAAAAAAACGTTTAACTTTATTTTATTGATTTTAGAGAGATGAAGAGATAAAGAGAGAAAAACATCGATTTGCTGTCCCACTTATTTATGCATTCACTGGTTGCTCCCGTATGTGCCCTGAGTAGGGACTGACCCTGCACCCTTGGTGTATGGGGACAACGCTCAAGCAACTGAGCAACCAGACCAGGGCAGTGACTCAACATTTTTATCCCTTACAATGTGACCACCCCATTCGTTCTAGCGATCACCTGTACTGTGCAAACTTATCATGATATCACTCAATGCTTTTCTTCCATAACAGGATTTGGCTGACATAAAATGATACTTTAGTCCTCATCTACAAGAAGTAGCAAAAAAGTAGTTAATTTTTAGTAGCAGTTAGAAGTAACTCCCAAGAGTGGCTCTACACCTAACAACATGACCAGTGTTTCAGGGTGCTAAGGCTGTGGGGCAGCTGTCTTCCCTGCGCGACGGTACTTACTGGTATCCAATTGGAAACAGCTTGTCCTCACAGTCAGACAGATCATTGAGAATTCCCAAGCAGTCGATTGTCATAGAGCCTGGCCAAGGAGAGAACAGTGATTAGAGGAGATGATGGTATATATATATATATAAAAACAGTCTAAGTGACCGTTCGACCATCTGACCGGTAGCTATGACGCGCACTGACTACCAGGGAGCAGACACTCAACGCAGGGGCTGCCGAGCTGTGGTGACTTGGCAGCTGCGGTTCTCGGGGTGACGCACTCAGAACCAGAGAAGGGAGCCCGATTCCAGGGTGCGTCACCTGAGAACCACCCTTTCACGATCCGGGACCCCTCGGGGATGTCGGAGAGCCAGTTTTGGTCCGAACCCTGCAGGCCAAGCCAAGGGACCCCACCAGGGCCCAAATCCATTCACTGGGCCTCTAGTATAAAATAATTTCATAACCAAAGACTAGAAAGTACCCCAATGCTACATCCAGCCTCCCCTACAACCGAGGCCCATGCCCTACCAATCATCATGTGAATGTTTTCTGGTTCCAAGCCACTAAGGAACTTCCTCCTCAAGCTGATTCCTTCAAAGTCCACAAACACTCTTCTGAAGACTTCAAATCCATTCTCGGGAACCACCTAAAACGAAACCCCAGCGGAGCTGTGACTCAGCTTTCCCTCGCAGACCGTGCTCACAACACTGCCTCTCAGAGGGGCAGGGCCCAGCTCTCAGCATCACCTCTTCCGCCAGGAGAGCTCCTGCATCCCGCTACGAGGAGCAGGTGCTAGGGACAGCTACAGAAGGTAAAGCCACGTTACGACGTGCTTGCTATTTCCCATCTCTTCTCCCTGAATTCCCGGAGAATTCAAGAAGCAACACAAGCTCTCACCTCGCCTTTGATCGTATCGCGGTGCCGCTGGCAGTACACCTTCTTATCGTCCAGAAAGACGCAGTTCTTGGCCCGGGAGCACATGAAGTGGTAGTTGCTGGTGCAGGAGGTGAGGCAGCAGCCCACAGTGGCCCCCGGCTTTTGGCAGAATTCGCATCGCTGACAATGCAGAACAAACACAGCCCGGGTCAGATGTTCAAATATTTCAAGCCATTTTCTACCTCCCCATCCAGAGTTTCCTAGAAGCAATTTTGTTTATTGATAATCTGCTGAATCACAGGGAAGGGATAGGAGCCATAAAGTCTTCTCCACAAACCTTTTTGCTCCCACAGTCCATGGGGCCCTATGACTACTAAAGTTAAATATTAAACCTGATTTAGAATTTGGACCAAAACAGTTTTTCTTCTAGGATGCAAGATGGATTTAGAGAAGAGGAAGCTTTGAAGATCAAGGCTAAAAACATCATCTCTCTAGAAAGCTATTCTATCCGAAAGAACTCCGTTCTAGAAAGAGCATACGAGCCTGAAACATAATGGTGTTCCAGTTACCGGCTAACAGACACACTTATCATGTAGTTAACGTTTCCCTGTCACTCGGCTGTGTCACCACCTTACTCTGTCAGTCACACCAGGGCTCTTCTCCGGGAGGACACGTTGTCCTTTTCGCCCACACTCCAAGGGTCCAGACAATCAGCTGCCACAGTGGACACCAGTACTCGGTATGGCTGACCACCCCGAAGGCAGATGGAAACAGGCGTGAGGCGGCACTTAGCCACGGGCAGCACATCTGGACACCGAGGAGCCTCTCTGACGGCATTCCCGTGTCCTTACCAGCTGCTTGCCCCGGATCACAGCCATGTGCACGTTCTTCAGTGACCCGTCGTCGTCTTCAAACACTTCTGCCGACCACAGAGCGCAGTTCACATGTGTCCACTCATTCTGGCCAATGTACAGCAAGCGGCCAGCATCCTGGGAAACAAAGAGATTTCTTTTCTCTTTAAAGATTATGTCAAAGAAAGTTTTCCTTCATATTTGCTTTACCTCAGTCAAGACAACTCCAATAAACTAATTAAAATTCTTTAGGTGAACACACACATTAGAAAAAACACCACACTTCTTTTTCAATGTTCCTGCTTCCACTCTGCCCTTTCTGATCGCCTCTTCCACAGACAGGAGAATTAGAAATAAGCTGACCATGTGCCAGGCAGGGCACAGGCCTTACACCTCACCTCTTTCAGTCCTCAGAACCACTCTGAGGTAAGGATTCTTCTTCTTATGCTCATTTTAATATATTTTATTTTATTGATTTTTTACAGAGAGGAAGGGAGAGAGATGGAGAGCTAGAAACATCGATGATAGAGAAACATCGATCAGCTGCATCCTGCACACTCCCTACTGGGGATGTGCCCGCAACCCAGGTACATGCCCTTGACCGGAATCGAACCTGGGACGCCTCAGTCCGCAGGCCGACACTCCATCCACTGAGCCAAACCGGTTTCGGCAGGATTCTTCTTCTTATGCTCATTTTAAAGATGCAACTAAAGGTCAGAGAGGTTAAGCTCCTTGCTAAGGTCAACAGCACAGAAATGGACCTTAACCATTCTGCTCTACTACATTAAATACAAGGTATTTAATGTGCAACTTGTACTTTATTGACTTTCAAAAAGACTTTTTGAGAAGATAGAAATTACTAGACATCAGCAGGTTAATTTAAGGCAAATCATCTTTCAAATCAGTTATAGAAATAACCCCAAGTTCCAAAACACCCAGTCATCAGGTGTAGACACAAAGGCCACACAGCTCGCTCTGAGCGTCTAGCAGGTAGGACCCGTTGCCGAGGTACTTACATTAGCACTGTCATCACCGTAAGTCAAACACAACGCACACTGTCTGTTATCTTCTATGCCTGGGGGTGGGTTCAGTTCTGGACTATCTTCTCGACTCCTATCAGTACCTTGGAACCCAAAGACACCCAATTAAAACTGGTGATACTAATTTTGATCTCCAGGAAAAAGAAAACAATTCGGCTCAAATAGCCCATAACTTGTAAAACGAACACTTTCAAAAAGTGTGCAAAGTTACGCGATCCTACCACTTTAAAATTAGAGTATTTCTATAAATTCCTTGTTAACATTCCAAGTGAAGCAAAAAGAACGATTATTACATTTAAGGATCATGTGAAAATTTCTAATGCGCAAGGACATTAAATTTAGATTCACAAGTCAATCACTGGCATCCTTACTCAAAGCCGGCGGCGTGGGAGGGTGCAGGGGAGTGGGCGAGTCCGGTTCTCCAGGCCCTTTCGGTTTGGGAGCCGGAATGATTTTCTTCGTTAAAGGAGGCTGCTCAGTGCGGCCGCTGTCCTCTCGCTCCTGCCACTGAGCATAATTATGGTCAAGTGAAGGCGGAAGCACTGCGTTGGGTAGCATCCCGCTGCTGGAAACAATCGATTCGACAGGCTTACTGACCCCGTAGCGCGCCCAGGCTGCACACAGTAAGACATTCCTGACCTCATCGGGCCCTGGCCCGGGCACGGGCCAGTCACAGAGCGTCAGCACAAGTCCCAGTCTGTAAACCGCCTCATCACACAGGACTTTATATTATTTTAAAAACATAATCTCAATGTATGGCTCTTGATTACACTTCCAGAAGCAAGTGATAACTTTCTCAAAGGCTCAAAAGGATTCACCTGAATAAAAACGTAAGATTAAATATGGGGACTCCGAAGGTTGAGAACACCATTGGAAATGAATAATAGGACCCAATTCTAACAACAGACCATAACATACACCGTTGTCTCTAAGCCGGCACTCAGAGCATTTCAACTAAGTTTTTAATATTACAGCCTACTCTTGAGAAACCTCAATCTAGAAATGGATTATATGAGAAAAAGAGTCATACAGCATTTACTTACTTGCTTGATACTTTATTTGGTTCCCAAAACCTGGACTTTTTGACACTGAACCATGGAAAAACACGTTCCATTTGCTAACAGAAAAAAAACAAACAAACAGCATGTAAACACGTGAACATTCATGTGGAAACCACATAAAAACCACGTCACACAGGCGCCCGCCGGTCCGAGCACGACGTGAGGCCGCTGAGGGAGACCACCCACTCCGGGGCCTCAAAACTCCCCGCTAAGGAATCGGGAGTGACCACAACCAGAAGATGCCTTATCCATACAGCAGAGCCCCCGGCAGAAGGGAAAGGTCTGCTCTGTTCCGGGGCAGCCCCCGCAGACAGGCACGGAGAAGGGGCTATAAGGTAGTTCACCCGAATGAAGAAGGACTTGACCATGCTGTTGGCTTTTTTGATCTCCGGCTGCCCTCCGTCTGAATTAATGGCTGCTTGGATGATCTTCACGATATCATCACTGAACTCCAACTGCAGACAAAAACAAAGCATTAACTATTCAAAGAACGGGGTGCTCTCAAAACCACTTCCTTTCCCTCCTAACCACCCAGCCCAGAGGGCCCACAGGAAGCTAACGCCTTATTTTCATACAGTGCAGTTTCTATTAATATTTTTTCTTTTTAAAAAATATATTTTTATTGATTTGAGGGAGGGAGAGAGAGATAGAACATCAATGATGAGAGAGAATCATGGATCGGCTGCCTCCTGCACGTCCCTTACTGGGGATAGCCTGCAACCCGGGCATGTGCCCTGACTGGGATCAAACCCGGGACCCTTCAATCCATAGGCTGATGCTCTATCCACTGAGCAACACCAGCTAGGGCCAGAGTGGTTTCTCTTTAGAGGAGGCATTTGAGATTCAGTTCACGATTAACTTGTGGAAGTCAAGAGATGAAGGCTAATAAAGCAAGAATGCAAACAAATGAGTTGTATCACGGTAAATTACACCCAACAGGGCTACGATATTTTATTTAGACTAAAATGAATTAATAACTAAAGAGCAAATATGGACCATGAGTTAACAATCGTTTCCTACATAGTTTAAAAACCATAAAATTAAAATGCATCTACCTACAAATGAATATCCTATACAGAAAGACATTGTTCAGATGTTATCTCAAAAAGGTCAAGCCAGTTAACTTCACACTGTCGTTTTTTCCATAAAATTCTTTAAAAAGTATCTTTTTACTGGTTTGAGAAAGACAGAAAGGGAGAGAGTGAGAAAGGGGGCCGGGGGGGGGAGGGGAGGGAAACATAGATGACAGAGAACCACTGATAAGCTGCCTCCTGCACACCCTCCACCATGGATCAAGTCTGCACCCTGGGCAGCACTGCCCTGACTGGGAAGAGAACCAGCGACCTCTTGGTGCATGGGACGATGCTCAACCAACTGAGCCACACCAGCCAGGGCCATAAACAGTTTTAATACAAAAATGACTTCAATATGAAAGTAATTTTCAGAGAACTCAGATGAAAGCCAAATAAAACGAACCACTTAAGACACTGATCTGAAACAAAGGGCTAAACCAACCCACATCTTTTTAGGTATTTAAAGCCACATGACATTTCTAAATACAATACAAGTCATCTTTTAATGCTTATCCCGTCTCCTCTTCCACCAAGAGCCCAGGAAACTACCTTGGCACTGGAAAAGTTGGTAGTTGGCTGCAGAGACATACCACAGACGTGTAGCTCCCTTGGTCCATCTTCCTCCTGACCCCTTCCAGATCTAAAGGCTGCTGGTCCTCCTGCTTGCTGACCTCCGTGAGCACAGGCGGGTCCGGGCCCTCCGGGGAGCTGCGGGAAGGTAGGCTCTCCTCTGTCTCGGGGTTTAAGTCTGGAGGCTTGGCAGCCTGTTGCCAGGAAAGACAAGTTCACTAATCTAACACTGAAAACGAGGCATGTAGGCAAATTCTATAAAGATTAATAAAGATGGGACTGATTCATATTGTAAAACATAAAGAACATGGAAATAAGAGATCTCTCCAATTACAGAAAAGGAGAAGTTAAAATGAGCCAGCAGCTATCTAGGCTAATTTAAGATTTTGCTTGGTAAATTCCAAGCCTAGTATGAAGAAATAGAAACTGCCCGGCCAGTGTGGCTCAGTGGTTGAGCGTTGATCTATGAACCAGGAGGTCAGAGGTTCGATTCCTGGTCAGAGCACATGTCCAGGGTGCGGGCTTGATCCTCAGTAGAGGCCGTACAAGAAAAAGCCAATTGATGATTCTCTCTCATCAGTGATGTTTTTCTCTCTCCCCCTCTCTCTTCCTCCCTGAAATCAATAAAAATATGTTAACCACCCCCCACCCCCGCCCCCAAAACCCCAGAAACTCTCCAGTTGCTTTTGAGTAAGTCATAAATGGCAGCTAATTTTCTTTTTTTTAATATACTTTTTTTGTTTGTTTGTTAATCCTCACCTGGGGGTATTTTTCCATTGATTTTTAGAGAGAGTAGAAGAGAGGGGGAGAGACAGACACATTGATGTGAGAGAGATACATCGACTGGTTCCCTCCCACACAAGCCCCAACCAGGGCCAGGGATCAAGCCTGCAACCCAGGTGCGTGCCATTATCCAATCGAACCAGGACCCTTCAGTCTGAGCCAAACCAGCAGGGCACACCTAATCTTCTTGCTTAAAAAAACTAAGCTCTATTAAAGAGAAAGCAGCAGCCTAAGTCTGAATTAACGTTCCCACGTGGTTCTGCCAACCATTACACCTGTGTTCCCAATGACTAGTAGAGATGTACAGTCCACAGCTTGTATGGCTACATAGTAGCAGTTTTCAAATTGTACCCTGAGGAGCCCCAGGGGTTGCCCAGAGCTAAGGCATCTCTAGCCCCTTACCATCTGAGATGAGGCCACTATGCTCTCTCATACCTCGGTTACAGAACTGCCTCTTAACCACTCTCCTGCTTGGGTTCAGACGTCTCCAACCCTTTCCCTCTCTCCAGTCAGAATCATTTTTTTCCACTAAAAAGCAACTCTGATCAGGTTACTCTTTTTATTTTAATCCTCAGCATAGGATATGTGTTTTTATTGATTTCAGAGGGAAAAACCAGAGAGAAAGGGAGGGAAGGAGAAATAGCAAGAGGGAGAGAGAGAGAAACACCAACCGGTTGCCTCCTGAACTTGCTTCAACTGGGGATCAAGTCTGCAACCTGGGCATGTGCCCTGACCGGGTATACAACCTACAGCCTTTTGGTGTGTGCGACGACGCTCCAGCCAACTGAGCCACCCGGCCAGGCTCGGTTACTCTTTTGGGTGAAGGCCTTCATTGACTCCCCATAGCCGTTCGAGTATAAAGTCCAAACTTCTTATAACAGTAAGGCCCTTGAAATATGCCTCCTTCCTATTTCTTACCCCAAAGAAGGACCTATTCTTTTTAAAATGTTTTTATCTATTTCAGAGAGAGGAAGGGAGAGGGAGAGAATGAGAGAAACATCAATGATGAGAATCATCAATTGGCTGCCTCCTGCACACACCTCACTGAGGATGGAGCCGGAAACCCCAGCATGTGCCCTGACCGGGAATTGAATGGTGACCTCCTAGTTCATAGGTTGGGGCTCAACTACTGAGCAACACTGGCTGGGCTAGAAGGTTCTATTCTTGGCTCTAAAAATGTTTTTAATGATTTTAAGGTCCAAACAAATCACCTAAACGACTGAATGAAGCAAAACTAAATGAAGCAAAACTTTTTTTAAAAACGGAAGAACTCCCAACCAACCAAAAACCATTCTGGAAGTGAAAGCCACCTAAGAACAAACTCTCAGCACCCAAAAGGAGACGCGGGCCTACCTGTCGGTAGCGTAACAAATGGCTGGTGGTCCGAGAGTTCAACAAGGCCGTCAGCACCTGCTTCAGGGAGCTCTGCAGCGCCTTTTCGAGGGCCAGCCGCCACTCCGCAGGGTGCCGCACGGTACAGTTCACACACGTGTAGGCCACGCTTTCTGGCAGGCTAGACAGAATCTCATACATCTCATCTGGGAAGGCAAACACCCACCATCATAAGGCGCTCTGCAGAGCGGGAGGGGAAGAGGAGGGTAGGCCACCGCCCCGCAGAGGAAGCTGTCAGTCAGAAACAGCACTGAGACCAACGTCCCCTGGGAACGCGCACCGATTGCTCTTCAGAGACGTTCAGAGTCACTGACCCAGACTCTGGTTGCCGCGGGGTCAACAGGTCATGGTGCCCGCAAAGGGCAGCAGGAGCTATTTCGGGGACATGCTCAGGATAAATGGCACGAACGCCACACACTGTTGTTGAGTCTAAAGACCAAGGAATTAATTACAAAAATTCAAACGACACTGCCATGATGTTTGCATTGGCAGGACTGTGGGGGCTGTCAGAGTAGCTACCAGAAGAAGGAAACGGTAATAAAAAGACTCCAACCTTCTGTACCTGAAAGGTTCTCACATTTGGAGTGGACCCAGCGATCACATTTCCCACACTGCATCATCTTGCTCTCATAGTCGTCATCGTCGTAACACTTATCGCAGAGCGGGCAGAAGTTTCCTGAAAGGAAAGCAACGTGTCCCGCTAAGTGCTTTGGTTCGCACACCACTGAGTCCCCAGCCCGGGACTTCTATCTGTGAACCTGATCTAACAGGCAGGAACCGCCCGGCCGGCGTGGCTCAGTGTTTGAGTGTCAACCTAGGAACCAGGAGGTCAGTCTGATTCTGGTCAGGGCACATGCCCAGATTGCCGGCTCAATCCCCAGTAGGGGGCGTGCAGGAGGCAGACAGTCAGTGATTCTCTCATCATTGATGTTTCTCCCCCCCACATCCCCCCTGAAATCAGCAAAATTGTATTTTTTAAATAAAATACATAAATAAAATGCAGGAACTACTTAACACACGCCAGCATGGACCTACCAGGGAATGTGCACATGCCTGGAAAGCAGCAAGATTATCCTGAGCTCTTAGAACAGGCCACTAGTTCTCTAGGCTCATTATTACAGGTCATGAGATAGATTTTACAGATAACGTAATAGAAAAAGAATGGAAGAGAGAATTTTCTCTTAAACATTCCAAACAAATGCTTAAATTTTAAAAAGAGATGAGGGTATGGGAGTAATTTACACTTTTCTTTATTCACAGGGCTTTTATAGAACGCTTCTAAATTTTAGCACAATAAAGTACCTTCACAAATTTGCTTTATCCATGTATCCCCTATTATTTTTTACTTAATAGATTATAGAGAACAAGACTGTCCTTCTCAAACTCTTCCAAAATATTGAAGAAGAGGCAATACTTCCTAACACATTCTATAAAGCCAATGTAATCCTCATACCAAAACCTGGCAAATATAACACACACAAAAAAGAAAACTACAGACCAATATCTCTGATGAATACAGATGCAAAAACCCTAAACAAAATACTAGCAAATAAAATACAACAATACATTAAAAAAATAACATTATGATCAAGTGGGGTTCATTCTAGGGGCACAAGGATGGTTCAACATATGCAAATCAATGGAATACACCACATTAACAAAAGAAAGGATAAAAATCGCCGAAACCGGTTCGGCTCAGTAGATAGAGCGTCGGCCTGCGGACTGAGGGGTCCCAGGTTTGATTCCGGTCGGGGGCATGTGCCTTGGTTGCGGGCACATCCCCAGGGGGGAGCGTGCAGGAGGCAGCTGGTTGATGTTTCTCTCTCATCGATGTTTCTAGCTCTCTATCTCCTTTCCTCTCTGTAAAAACTCAATAAAAAATATTTTTAAAAAAAGAAAAAAAAAAGAAGGATAAAAATCATTTGTATGATATTATCAACACTTGCAGAAAAAGCATTTGATAAGATACAATATCCATTTATGATTAAAACACTCAATAAAATAGGGATAGAAAGTACCTCAACATAATAAAGGGCATCTATGATAAACCCTCAGCTAATACCATGCTCAATGGTGAAAACTGCAAGCTTTTCCCCTAAGCTCCGGAACAAGGCAAGGACGTCCACTCTCACCACTCTTTTCCACATAGAGCTGGAGGGCCTAGCCAGAGCAATGAGGCAAGAGAAAGATAAAAGGCATCTACATAATAGGGCAGGAAGAAGTCAAACTGTCACTTTCTGTGGATGACATGAGTCTGTATATAGAAAACCATAAAGATTCCACCAAAAAAATACTAGAAACAATAAATACAATCAAGTTGCAGCATACAAAATCAATGTGCAAAAATCCATTGCCTTCCTGTACACCAACAACAAAACTTCAGAAAAAGAAATAAAAAACAAAACCAAAAAACAATTCCTTTTGCAGTTGTAACCAAAGGAATAAAATACCTAGGGATAAACTTAACAAAAATGTGAAAGACCTATATGCTGAAAATTACAAAGCATTATTGAAAAAGATAAACAAAATGGAAAAATATCCCGTGCTCATGGATTGGGAGAATCAATATAGTTAAAATGGCCATATTACCCAAAGCAATTTACAGATTTAATGCAATTCCTATCAAAATACCAATGTCATTTTTTAAAGAAATAGAACGAGAAATCATTAGATTTGTATGGAACCACAAAAGACCCCAAGTAGCCAAAGCGATCCTGAGAAAAAAAAATGAAGCTGGAGGTATCACACTGACTGACTTCAAATTATACTACAGAGCTATGATGATCAAAACAGCATGCCACTGGCAGAGAAAGACACACAGATCCATGGAACGGAATAGAGAGCCCAGCTATAAAACCACACGAATATGAACAGATAATTTTCAACAAAGGAGCCAGAAACACACAATGGAGTAAAGATAGTCTCTTCAATAAATGGTGCTGGGAAAACTGGAAAGCCACATGCAAACAAATGAAACTGGATTAATTTGCCCCATGAACAAAAATTAATTCAAAATGGATCAAAGACCTAAATATCAGACCCAAAACAATAAGTTACATAGAAGAAAATATAGGCACCAAACTTAAGGATCTTGGTCACAGAGAGTATTTTATGAACTTGATCCCAAAGGCAAGGGAAGTAATGACAAAAATAAATGAATGGGACTACATCAAACTACAAAGCTTCTGCACAGGAAAAGAAACTGACAACAAAACAAAGAGGCAGCCAACCAGATGGGAGATATTTGCAAACAGTAGTTCCTACAAAGGTTTAATCTCCAAAATATATAAAGAACTTGTAAAACTCAACACCAAACAACTCAGTCAAAAAGTGGGCAGAAGACCTGAACATATACCTCTCCCAAGAAGACATACAAACAGCCAATAGATATGAAAAGATGTTCAATTAGGGAAATGCAAATCAAAACCACAGTGAGCTACCCCCTCACACCTGTTCCAGTGGCCATTATCAACAAGACAAGCAACAACAAGCGTTGGAGAGGTTGTGGGAAAAGGGAACCTCGTTCACTGCTGGTGGAATGTGGACTGGTGCAGCCACTATGCAAAGCAGTCTGGCGATTCCTCAAAAAATTAAGAATAGAGCTACCATATGACCCAGCCATCCCACTCCTGGGTATATACCTGAACAACTCAAAATCATGTAATCACAAAGATATAGGCGCCCCTGTGTTCATGGCAGCATTATTCACGGTGGTGAAGGCATGGAAACATCCAAAGTGCCCTGCAATAGGGGACTGGATAAAGATGTGGTCCATGTACGCAGTGGAACACTACTCAGCCATCAGAAAGGATGAAGCAGAGCCATTTGCAACAGCATGGAGGGACCGTGCGAACATTATGCTAAGTGACATGTCAGAAAAAGCTAAGAGCCATCTGATTTCACTCAGATGTGGGATATAAAACTGAAACTTGTGAACACAAACAGCAGTGTGGTGACTGCTAGAGGGAAGGGGACGGGGGAGAAGGGGGCCTAATATATGGTGACAGAGGATTTGACTGTGGGCGGTGGGTACACAGTGCAATATACGGATCTTGTCACATAGAAACCCACACCTGAAACCTTTATGTTCACGTTGACCAATGGCACCCCAATTTAATTAAACATAAAAGAAAATAAAGTAAAATGGTTGCCTCAGTACCACATAAAATCATTTCTGAAGCAATCAAATATCTATGTACCTCACTTTGGGAAATAATGGCTCAGAGAATTTCTTTGTGTTTAGTTAACTTTTATAAAAAACTACAACTACTTAATTCTTCCCATAACCTAATAAAACATGCCTCGCTGCTATAATTTTCTGTGTAAAAGAAAGACCAGAAACTTAGTAAATGTGCCTAAATGGAAACCTTGAAAAGACGTGTAAGACATTTATCTTATTCCACGTGAGTGTTCAGTTCACCTCCAAAACATCAACAACAACATCCAAAATCCGACAAAACTCTTCTGGGAGGTACCTTTAGCAAAGAGTTTGGCACAGTCGTGGCACAGTGAGAAGTCGTGGGACCACTGTGCATCCCAGCCTTTGCCTGGGGTGGTAGATCCGCAGCTCTTGCAGCGCACACACTTGGTGCAGATCTGGAAAGGAAGGAAAGAAATGCAGTAGAATTCCTTATCTTTAGTAGCTCCTCTGATTAAAAAGAGATCACAAATACCTAGAGGTGACTTCTCTACTGGGATGTCTTTTTCTAATAACGAGGCCACAATAATTGTTACACTGACATCCTCAAGCAAGGGCATTCCTAGTCTAGTCACCCAAGCCCACAGCTGCACGACGATCCTCTGTGCGCACTCACCCAGACTTTCTTTTTCTTCGTAGGTTTGGTGGGGTAGTTAGGTCCTAGGCACTCAGGGTGATAGCTGTTTCGGCACTTATTACATTCCAGCAGCTGCTGTAAGAAAAACATCAAGGCAAGAGGATGGGCGTCACCTCGCCGTCACTAAACACCTGTCGCTGCCTACCTCGTTCCATCTTTATCTCCAAGTAAGTATGGCACATCCATCTAGCAGGCAAGTTTCCTCATGAATTATTTACTCCCCATTAAAGCCCATTATTTATTTCCTGCCAAAGGCCCTCAGTGGTGAATATCCTTATCAGGTAGACTTGCCTTATTTGGGGGATTTTATCCAATGCCACATCTTATGCAATATCCCCAAAATTAAAACACAAAAATAGGCAACTGATTATACCCAATCAAATAGTCAAAACAGACTAAGCCAAGAGAAAAAAAATAGATGCAAAATCCTAAAGGAAAAGGCAGGAATGGAGACAGAAGCAATCCTCCAGGCAGTTCCACCGCTTCGCCGTGTACCTTTGTGGCTTGATGCTGCCGTCCACACACGTGACAGAACTTGCAGCGGCGGCAACACCAGTTTTCCAGCTGGTCCTCCAGGGGGCGCTCGTTCTCCTCTAAACAAAACCTATGGAAGGGCTCACAGCAGACTTGGCAATACACAAACTGGGGAAAGATGGAGAGAAAAGTGAGAGAACAGCGTGCAGATTTACCAGCCGAATCCTACACATCCTTCGGGAGTTAGGGGTGCAGTGCTCTCTGCATTTTATTCAGCATATAGTCATTAAGCAATCAGTATATTTTTCAACAGCACATACAGGGCATTGCAGGAGATTCAGGGGACTAATGTGGAAGTAATAAAATTATAAAGTAACAATATCAATACAATTCAAGACTTCATATGATGTGCTAAGTGACATAAGATAGCTAAAACAAAGAGCCATAGGGATGGTGTTAAAGATTTTCTACAATGTTCTAAACAGTTGTAGGTTCTGGCTTATCCTTTCCGTGTCTAATTCTAGAAATAAATTATTTTCATATCGATATTTTTAAAAATTCCAATGAGGGTGACCCAGAATTTTCTTTCTTTTTTAAAAATATTTTTTTATTGATTTTATTGATTTCAGAGAGAAAGGAAGAGGGCGAGAGAGAGAGAAACATCAACGATAAGAGAGAATCATGGATCCGCTGCCTCCTGCACACCCCACACCAGGGATTGAGCCCCCAACCCGAGCATGTGCCCTGGCCAGGAATCGAACTGTGAGCTCTTGGTTCGTAAGACACCAGCCAGGCCTTATTTCCTGATTTTGGTAATTATAATATTTAGAGGTAAAATGGCACATGTCTGGAAGTTGCTCTCAATTTTTTAGGAAAAATATGTCTACTTATATAAAAATGGATGTATATTTTATTTCTTATTTTGTAAAATATAATAAATATTTGTGTAAAAAATACACAAAGAGAAAAGAAGAAAGTAAATGGAAACTATTAACATCTGGGGACGCCAGGTGGAGGGGAGATGAGGGTTCTTTGTACGACCCTTGTGACATTTCTGAGAATCTGAAATCATGTCAACGTAAACATTTTTTACAACGCGCATGGTGGGAGACGCCGCCAGGCACCAGCTATATTGTCGGAGGCGATGAGGCCGTGTGTCATCCATCCTCCAGTTCCGGCTTTAGGAATTCTGTGGGACTGCTGCGCGCAGCCGTGCCATTTAAATTAGAGCAACTACACTCTGAAAAAAACCTGTTTTATCACAGAAGTTTAAGTCCCAGTGCTTAAGTAATTCCTGTGGGTAGCATATGTGTGAATACAAAGCATGTGACTAGGTAAAAAAAGAGGAACAGTGCCCCCGGGACTTGCAGACTGAATGTTCTTGGTTTCAGTGACATCTAACGCAGCCCTAGCATAAACAACACTGAAGGAAACCCTTCTATTTACGATGTATATACACATAGAAAGGTTTGTGTTACATATGTACTAGTGGCCCGGTGCACAAAATTTGTGCACAGAGGGGGCGGGGGGTTTACCTTAACCCAGCCTGCACCCTCTCCAATTGGAGACCCCTTGGGGGATGTCCAACTGCCAGTTTAGGCCTGATCCTGCAGTCGGACATCCCTCTTGCAATCCAGGACCACTGGCTCCTAACCACTCGCCTGCCTGCCTGATCACCCCTAACTACTCTGTCTGCCGGACTGATCGCTCCTAACCGCCTCCACCTGCTGGCCTGATCACCCCTAACCGCCTCTGCCTGCAGGACTGATCGCCCCTAACCGCCTCCACCTGCTGGCCTGATCACCCCTAACTGCCTATGCCTCAGCCCCGCCACCATGGCTTTGTCTGGAAGGATGTCCGAAAGGTCTCCGGAAGGTCTCCTGGTCTAATTAGCATATTACTCTTTTATTAGTATAGTGTAGATCATACATACACATACATACATACATATATATGTGTATGCATACATTTACATATTTGCCAATTTATCCAGTTACATTCATGAGATAAATGCCTAGAGCACAACTGCTGGGTTAGAGGGTATACCCATTTAAAATTAAGTACATACATACTTCCAAACAGCCCTCCAGAGAAAGGCTGTAACTAATTCAGCTTTCCACCAAAGAGAGCGCCCATTTCCACAGGATCCTTTTGATATCATGCAGTCCCCCTTTATATCATGCTTTCATTCCCATCAGAAGGCTCAGCACCTCCGCCCACAGGTTTTATTTCTCATTTCATGCATTATATACTCCTGTCCTTAAGCCTATTTCTAGCGGGTGCTATTCCTTTTGTCACTAATTGTTAAAGAGCTCATTAGAGACGAGGGGGTTTGGATATTCAATATAAAATCACCATCAAAAGCATCTCTTTTCTAGAGGAACACTGTATTATTTTTCTCCATGTTTAAGCATCTAGCAGAAAAACCAGGCCTCCAGGCAAAAGTAAACTTTTCTCACTCAATATCTTTGTTACTCTACTATGAAGCGGATTCCTTCCTAAAATCTCTAAAACACTTCAAAAATACTAGCATTTCATTAACTGGTTTATTTTTTAATTTTCACCCAAGAATTTTTTATTGATTTTTAGTGAGTGGGAGAGGGAAAGACAGAAACATCGATGTGATAGAAAACACATCGATTTGTTGCCTCCTGTACGGGCCCCAGCCAGGGCCCTGGGCCAGGGAGGAGCCTACAACCGAGGTACAAGCCCTTGACCAGAACTGAACCCAGGATAAGGTCTGCAGGCCGACGCTCTATTACTGAGCCAAACCAGCCAGGGCTCATTACTGGGTTAAACAGGGGGCAGTGCCTGCTGCCTATCAATAAAATAAAAGGCCAGCGACCATAATGGCGTCACCACCAGAACGACTGACTGACCAGTCACCATGAAGTAAACTGACCACCTCTTGGTTCCTCCCCCAGCCCACAGGCTCCAATTGCTGGATGGCAACGGGGAGACCATGGGGTACCGGGGTGGGTGGTGGCGGGGCAGGATGAGGGACTGGCGAGCAGGCGGAAGGCAGACCTCGTGGTCCCTACCCCTGGCCTGCAGGCTCCAATCAGGGCGAGTGGGGAACGACAGGGCACTGGGGTGGGCGGCGGTGGGGCGGGACTGGGGACTGGCAAGTGGGCGGAGGATGGCCCTGACCGCAGGTTAGGCCTGGGGACCCCACCCAAGCAGAGTTTCGTGCTCTGGGCCTCCAGTGTGATGATATTTTCATCAAAGAAAACGAATCTACATGACACCTGCTACAGTGCACGCCAGGCACAGAAGCAGCCTCTCACCTCCACGTGCCCGCTGCTGGCACAGAGGAAGCACACCACCCTGGGCGTGATGGGGAGAGAGGTCAGGATGCCCAAGCCGCCCATCTCCCACACGGTCTCGGCTTCACAGTCCTCCTGCGGAGAGAGAACAGCCATTTATCAAAGTTTTACAATGACACAACTTTGGATTGAAAATAAGGTTAGAAACGGTAAAATGAGAATGCTACAAGAACGGCAAGCATACTTCCTTTAATGAGTTCAAAAACAACTGCTGCTTTAAAAAATTTTACTATCAGATGCAAACGGTTAGAACAGTCACCTCTTTATGGGTTAACTCGCGCTAACTATACTGCAAAGTAACCCTGGGACTGAATTACTGTCAGTTTTACGGATCCAAGCTTTCACCATCCTTCGATAACTCCCATGGGAAAGAACAATTTCCTCAGACACTATTCTCGTGTAAATGTACTTTCTCACTCACAAACGGGCCAAAGCTCTTACAACACGCGAACCTATCTGCTGGTGGTGGCTCTTATTCATTTCCCCACTGTGTGCTGAATTTCCTTGCTTTCAACACCTCTGGTATCATCGTTATCTTGGCTGAGTCAGGAACACTGGCTTCTGATCAAGGTCCCACGGCCTGTATGGTGGTTACAAATCGGAAGGGTACCTCGGTGGCCGGGGCGGTCCCAGCCCCTCACCGGGTGCCCAGCCCAGGGTTCCAGGGCTGGGAAGAGGAGTCCCGGTAACTTCTGGCTGTAAAGACCAGTGAGGACTGTGGATGAGTGAGCCACAGGCTGCTGGAGACCCAGGCGGTCTTCCTAAAGGGCCTGCACACAGACTCAGTTCCCTCTGAGCTCCAGCTGTGCGGAGGCCCCCGCTGCAGGTGCAGGCGGTACCGCATCTGACTCTCCATCAACTTGGCTAACAAGTTTGCCTGCCCCAGTGATTCCGAGACCTTGGCCCATCCAACCTGCAGGCACGCCAAGACGATTCCAGGCTTTTCCATGCCAGTGGCCTGCCCTTGCTCATGCTGCAGACTTGCCTAAAATCTCTCAAAGGGTCCCACAAACCCCAAACAAGCAGCATCTGGCCTCAGCAGGCCCCGTACTTGCTGCTAAGCAGCCCCAACCTCAGCAATAGCAGCAGCTGAACTCAGTTTACAGCTCAGCCTTCTCCCAGGCATCTCCACGCCAGGCACAAGTAGCAGCCATCAGCAGATCATCTTGTTGCTCATGCCGGATGGCTCCAGGCAGGGTAGAGGCAGCAGCTGACCTTGGTTAGCACCTCCCAGGAGACCCCAACACCAGCACATCCAGTGGACAACCTCAGACCACACGGAAGCACCACCTGACCACCAGCACATTCAGGGGTAGGCTGGGCAGGCAACAGAGCCCCGCAGGAGGGAGCCCTGTTCCATGGGGTCGGTGACTGCACAGCAGCTCCTCCGCTGTGGTCTCCTCAGCCTACCAGTCAATCAGACTGGGGGCACCTACCTCCCACTGATGTACCAATAGCAACCAAGGCTCCACTACAACAGGGGCAAACACAGCCCACACAGGGGCACAGCACAGTGCCTTGCTCTGGTGCCCAGGGAGGCTGCACCACCGAGACACCTACCACACTAGGCCATTCTACCAAGACCAGGAGACACAGCAGCTCTACCTCATCCACATCCACGGAAGGCTGCCAAATGAGGAGACAAAGAAGCATGTCCCAACTGGAAGAACAGAAAACTCCAGGAAAATAAATTAACAAAATGGAGACAAGGAATCTATCAGATGCAGAGCTCAAAACACTGGTGATAAGGATGCTCAATGAACTTAGGGGAAGGGTAGAGGAACTCAGTGAGAAACAAAGAGATAGTAAACATGAATGAGATAGAAAATAGAAAAAAAATACCAGAGTCAGAAATGTAGGGTACACCAACTGAAATGAAGAATACATTATAGGAAATCAATAATAGATGAAGCAAAGCATCAAAACATAGATTTGGAATATAAGGAAGCAGAAACACCCAACCAGAACAGCAAAAAAAAGAAATCCCCCCAAATGAGGATAGTGTAAGGAGCCTCTAGGGCAGCGGGTTCTCAACCTGTGGGTCGCAACCCCTTTGGGGGTCGAACGACCCTTTCACAAGGGTCGCCTAAGACCATCAGAAAACACATATATATATAATTACATATTGTTTTTGTGATTAATCACTATGCTTTAATTATGTTCAATTTGTAACAATAAAAATACATCCTGCATATCAGATATTTACATTATGATTCATAAGAGTAGCCAAATTACAGTTATGAAGTAGCAACGAAAATAATTTTATGATTGGGGGTCACCACAACATGAGGAACTGTATTAAAGGGTCGCGGCATCAGGAAGGTTGAGAACCACTGCTCTAGGACAACTTCAAGTGAGTCAACAGTCGCATCACAGAGGTGCCAGAAGGAGAAGAGAGAGAATAAGGAATTGAAAAGCTATTTGGAAAAAATGACAGAAATTGGAGGCCATCTGTAACAATAAAAAAGAAAAAATTGACAGAAAAATTTCCTAACCTAGTGAAGGAAACAGACATACAAGTCCCAGAAGCACAGAGTCTCAAATTAGTTTAATCCAAGGAGGCCCACATCAAGACACATCATAATTAAAATGACAAAGGTTAAAGACAAAGACAGAATCTTAAAAGCAGCATGAGAAAAGCAGTTAGTTACCCATAAGAAAGCACCCAAATGATTGTCAGCTGATTTCTCAACAGAAACTTTGCAGGTCAGAAGGGAATGATAAGAAATATTCAAAGTGATAAAAAGCAAGAACTCCACAACCAAGATTACTCTATACAGCAAAGCAGAATCGAAGGATAGACAAAGAGCTTTCCAGAAAAGAAAAAGCTAAAGGAATTCATCACCACCAATGAGTATTACAGAAATGTTAAAGGTCTTCTTTAAGAAAAAGAAGAAAAAGATCAAAGTTTGAATAATAAAATGGCAAGAACTATGTATCTATCAACAATTACTTTAAATACAAAGGGCTTAAATGCTCCAATCAAAAGATACAGGGAAGTTGACTGGATAATAAAACAAGACCCTACATATGCTGTCAACACGAGACTCATGTCAAATGGAAAAACTCAGAGAAAATAAAGAAATGAAAAAAGGTATTTCATCAAAATGAAGCAAACAAAAAAAGCTGTGGTAGCAATACTCATACCAGACAAAAGAGACTTTCAAACAAAGATTTTAACAAGAGACAAAGGATTCAGCAATTCCTATTCTGGGCATTTTTCTGAAGAAACCCAAAACATTCAATCGAAAAGACATCCATCCATATGTTCACTGTGGCATTATTTACAATAGCCAAAGTATGGAAGCAACTTAAGTGCCCATCAACAGACAAATGGATGAAGAAGAAGTGGTGAATTTACACAATGAAACATGACTCAACCATAAAACAGAATGAAATCTTGCCAATTACAACAACATGGATGGACCTAGAGGGTACTGTGCTGAGTGAAACAAGTCAGACAGAGCCAAACACCAGATGCTTTCACTTGTATGTGGAGTCTAAAGAACAAAATAAACAAACAAAACAGAAACAGACTCCTCGATGCAGAGAATAATACTGTAATAAGTATATGGTGCCAGATGGGTACTAGATTAACCAGGGTGATCACTCCCTACGTTACAGAAATGTCTAATCACATGGCCGTACACCTGAAGCTAACATAATATTCAGTCAACTGTAAATGAAACATAAAAAAACTATTTTAAAAATATAAAGCCCACGACTCGATATAATATGTGGTCACTCAACACCTTTACCTTGAAGTCCACTCTGATCCTGTGGACTCCATCTGCTGGGACCTTCTGCTTAGAGCTGCTGCTGTTGGAGAGAGCGCTGAGGATGTTCAAAGTGCCTGCGCTCTCCTGCTTGCTGACGGGAGGTGGTTTTTCCTACAGGGACAGAAAACAAATGAAAAACAAAACCACACTCTACTTGCCTTCACTTTTTAAAAAGTATTTTTTAAAACTGATTTTTAGAGAGGGAGGATGGGGCAGAAACATCGATATGAGAGCGAAACATCGACTGGCTGCCTCCTGCACGCCCCACACCAGGGATGGAGCCTGCGACCTTTTGTGCATAGGCCCACGCTCAATCAAGTAAGCCACGGCGGACAGGGCTTGCTTCACTTTGCAATAGAAAATAACGCAAATGACAAATCTAATTAATAGAAGGGACGTTTCCAACACAAGCATCCTATAGAAATTACTAGTAAAGTACTTTTCAAAAATTTTTTTTCATTAAGGCATTTTATTTGCATGTATGTAATTACATTCCCAGAAAAAGAATCCCAGTATTTTTTCTCCTGTGTGTTTTCATCTTGCTTCTCTGTGGTCCATGATGCCAGCTGAAGTGGTCAGTACAATGAGACCAAACTTATGGGACAGGAGCGGGTTATTCTGCAATTTTTCTGGATCTCCCAGTTATACATCAAATTTGGGCTGATCACTCCACATTTGTTCAACTTGCCCATGAGGTTCACAGCAATTTTCCCAGCTCTGTGATCATCGACGATTTCAAATTTGCCAATGGAATCATGCTTCATCATCACAGGCAGAAACCGGACGATGACTCTGGAGCGTGGCCTAATAAAAACCTAGCATTTGGCCCTGGCGGGTTTGGCTTGGTGGATAGATCTAGCGTCGGCCTGCGGACGGAGGGTCCCAGGTTCGATTCTGGACAGGGGCACATGCCTGGGTGGCGGGCTCGGTCCCCAGTGGGGGGCGTGCAGGATGATTCCCTCTCATCACTGATGTTTCTATCTCTCTCCCCCTCTCCCTTCCTCTCTGAAATCAATAAAAAATATTAAAAAAAAACAACAAACAAAAAACCTAGCGTTTGCCTCCCTTCGTGGCATCATGGATGCTCTTTAGAGCATCAGACAGAACAAACATGTGTACCATTGTGATGGCATGGAAAGAACCAGAAGATTCTTAAAGATCTCTATTCACATCATAAAAACAGTGCACACAGGGAAGGATGGTGACTACAGACAAATATTGCTAAAGGATGGCAAAACACTATTCCACTAGGCAGCCTACAGCATTCACTTGTAGGGTCACCAGGAACAGAAAACAAGGGGAAAGAGACAAAAAAAAGAGAGATGAGCTAAAGCCTAAATTCCACTGCCACCTACGAAGAAGCAAAAACACGGTTTCATCCACTCAATTACGTCAAGAATAAGGCTCTTTTCCTAAAGAACAGAACATACCCCTGAGAAATGGCAAAGAAACACAGCTCTCACCTTTTCTTTTGGTTTTTGTTTTACAGGAATACTTGGGCGAGGAGCCACTTTTTTCTGCTTGCTTTGCTCTGGACCTAAAAAATTCCAAGTAAACCGCAGTCAGAGGCTACTGCACTCACAGTTAATATTAAAGAGCAATGACTACTTTAGGACTGATTGGCTGGAAGAAGAGGCTATTGGAAAAAAGAAAATGACTCAAACTCTAGGCCAGAGGTCCTCAAACTTTTAAACAGGGGCCAGTTCACCGTCCCTCAGACATTCCACACAGGCACACTGCGGGCCCGGGACCAGTCGGCTGCTAAGCAGGACGGGCAGTGGCGGCAAAAACACCCGGCGGGCCGGATAAATGTTTTCGGCGGGCCGGATAAATGTTTTCGGCGGCCGCATGTGGCCCGCGGGCCGTAGTTTGAGGACCGCTGCTCTAGGCATTGAAGAGGAAATTAAGACAGTATCTCCAACTTAATTGTTTTTTGGCTTCTATTTCTTTATTACTATGCAATGGTTAAAGCTAATTTTCTTACACTGAAGATTAAACATCTATTTCGGGGTTTGCAGGTTTCCAAATGCTGTTTAAGACACCGGTGCTTTCTGCTAGTCCTGCCGGCCTGGCAGCTCCGGCCTCACTCACCTAAGTCCGGCGGTGGGGGCTGCTTCTTCTTGGGCTCGCTGGGAGCTGCCTTGGGGGCGTCTTTCCTGGGCGGCGCTGTGCTGGGTGGCGGTGGGGGGGGCGCTGGCGCTGGCTGGGAGGCCTGCTTGCTGGACTTCCTGGAGGCGGGAGTGGTAGCTTGTTTGGGCTCAGGCCCCGGAGCAGAGGCGGACCCGTCCTCGCTCTTCTCGTCTACGTGCTTCCGCGGGGGAGGCTCACTGGTGCTCTTCTTGGGGACAGGGTCCTCGCGTGCTGAGGGGGCGGGCTTCTGACTGGCGTCCACTACGCTCCTCACAACACTGTTCTCTTTACTACTCTCTTTCTTTTCACTGGTCTTGGACTTTTTCTCTTTCTTTTTCACAGCTAGGGGAAAAACATGATTATCTATAAGCAAGAAAAATTTTATTTAAAATAGAAGTATAGGAATGTAACAATCTTATTCTCTATTTCCCACCGCTAATGTTGACACTGAAGAGGCTCAAGAAAGTTAAGCTGGTCAGGTAAAATAGCTATACTTTCATTGCTCTAGGAAATGAAAGAAACTGTAATCTTTGTATGAATTTTAAAAATGCTTTTTTTTAACGGAAAATTTCAAACAAACTCCAAGGTAAAGGGACAGTAAAATGAACTCCCAAGTACTCATCACCCGGCTTCAACCTCGACTCTGGGAAAGGAGAGCTGAGTCTACAAAAGTAGGTGGGGCTCGGCCGGCGTGGCTCAGTGGTTGAGCACCAACCTATGAACCAGAAGATCTTGGTTCAATCCCCAGTGCAGGGTGTGCAGGAGGCAGCCGATCAATGATTCTCTCTCATCACTGATATTTCTGTCTCTCTCTCCCTCTCCTTTCCTCTCTGAAATCAATTATATATATATATTTTTTTATTTTTTTTAAATAGTAGTGCTTAAAAAGAAACCAAACCAGTCTTCCCTTTACTCTAGATGTGCACAACTATATGGCATTAAAGCAGAAGCACGCTGGGCAGAGCTGTGACGTCACCTTTTGCTTGCTTCTGAAGATAGGCTTTGGAAGGCATCCACTGTAGATTCTGACACTTTCTCATCCTAGGAGAACAAGGGGATCATAAAGTGAGTGGCGCTTAGAAGAGAAGCAACTCGGACAAGTGTTAATTTGTCTGCAAGAACCAGGGAATCTTTATCCGGGACCAATCTGAGAGCTGAATAAAGGATGGCTCAGTACACAGATGAAACCAGAGCCTTCGACGCCTTTAATCAGTGACTGTGCCTATCTTTAAGTCCTAAAAGGAGCAAATACCAAATTATGTTTTAAATGAGACTCAAATTTCTTAAAAGCTAGTACAAAACAATTGGTTGATATTTCTTATACTCAAATCAGTTCTGTTCCCTTATGACAGCGGTTCTCAACCTGTGGGTCGTGACCCCTTTGGCGGTCGAATGACCCTTTCATAGGGTCGCCTAAGACCATCCTGCCTATCAGATATTTACATTACGATTCATAACAGTAGCAACATTACAGTTATGAAGTAGCAACGAAAATAATTTTACGGTTGGGTCACAACATGAGGAACTGTATTTAAAGGGCCAGAAGGCTGAGAACCACTGCCTTATGAGATTAATATTCATTTAGAATAACCTGATGACAAAATGGACTAAAGTTATCCAGCAAGTCCTCTCTGCCACCACAATGCTATATCAGGGCTTTGATAGATGTGTGTGTACACACACACACACACACACACACACACACACACAGCCCAATGCACTAAATTCATGCAGGAGTAGGCCTTCCTTGCCCTGGCTGCCAGCACCGGCTTCCCTCTGGCACCCAGAACCCGGGCTTCCCTCACAGCCCTGGCTTCATCCAGAAGGGATGTCTGGTCTAATTAGCATATTACCCTTTTATTGTTTTTCATACACACACACACACACACACACACACACACATTCTACCCCTCAATTTAATGAAATTCAAACTTAATCTGAAGTATAAAATGTAACTGAGTCCATTTCACCCCCAAAATTTGGTGTAATTTTACCTTTTTGCTGATCTGTGAATTCTCACTCCTTTACATGAATGAGACGGAGACAAGATTCCTGTTTACAGCCAGACTGACCAAACCAGAGCACAGAACTCCCCGCCGTCCCCTGGAAACCGCCTCCCCGGAAGTGAGGACGCAGCACCGCTCCCATCGGGTTTACAGAAGTCACTTCACGTTATTCATTCAGAAAATGTCTACTGATAACATCTAGTCCCGATTCCAGGTACTCTGAGATGCTCAATTCCCAAAAAGCCTGTCTGTGCAACTCTTCTGATCCACTTTAGACCAACTGCCCAGAGGGTGAACGTGCACCCACAGACTGACCGAGAAAGGGAGAAAAGATCATCACAACATCCACATCACAAATCCCACAGGCGTGAAACTATCCCAGAGACAGCAAAGAGACATGGGCAGACAGCACGAACACTTCCCAAAAGCCATAAAGATAAAGGGAATTTTGGTTAACCTGATAAACATGCCTAAATTTGTCAGTTTTCAAGTAGAAAGCCCCTCGAGCTGCACTGAGATGGTAGCCCCGAAGCACCCATGGCTATGTAAATTAATTAAAATAAATTTGATAAAAAATGTAGTTCCTCGGTCATTCACGTTTCAGTCGCTCCACAGCCCATGGGGCTCATGGCTAAGCAGCTCAGAGCACTCCCAGCGCTGCAGAGCGTTCTACTGGTCAGCCTGCCCCAGAGAGCTTCTTATTTAAAGCACAGCTCGGCCTGGCTGGTGTGGCTCAGTGAATAGAGCGTCGGTCTGCGGGTTGAAGGGTCCCAGGTTCCATTCCGGTCAGAGCACATGCCCAGGTTGCGGGCTTGATCCCCAGTGTGTGGCGTGCAGTAGGCAGCCGATCAATGATTCTCTCTCATCGTTGATGTTTCTAGCTCTCTCCCTTTTCCTTCCTCTCTGAAATCAATAAAAATATATATTTTTTTAAAAAATAAAGCACAACTCACACCTAGCCACACTGCCCAATCCAACTGTGCAGCTAACCTTGAAACCCAAGAACTGAGTACAACCACGTTCAGTTTTTGGATTCATCTTGCAACGAATTGAGCACAAGCAAACCCCTTCACGGAGGGGAGGCCGACGCTCCGAGCAGAGCCCACTCACTTGCAGCATTGCTTCTTTATGTTGCGGCCGCCGAACTTGGGCTTGTCCAAGCAGTTAGTACAGACGCCACAGTCCTCGGGCACCTGGCAGCCGGGACACTGCCCACACCGCCTGGAGCGCCGGCCCTTCTTCACAGGGGGCTCCTGGGGAGCCTTGTTTCTGGTGACGGGTTTGATTGGTTTGATGGGCGGAGCCAGAGGTTCGGCATCTTCTGAGCCAGCGATTGAGGACTTGTCTGATAAAGAAACGCATCGTTAGTTCTGAGGGAGGATCTGATTCCTTCTTGGGAGCAGAGGTGGAGATCTTCAAAATCAATTTATATCATTAGGTACATTCAAACTTTGTTTTCACTGGGACTCCAAAAGTGAAATGGAATACATTAAAAAGCGTCATATGCAGAACTCAAAGCCTGTTTAAATATTGATTTAAATGTTATTAAATGCCTATAAACTTGTAGCTTAAAGAAAGCAGAAATCCAGCCAAAACCAGTTTGGCTCAGTGGATAGAGCGTCGGCCTGCGGACTGAGAGGTCCCAGGTTCGATTCCGGTCAAGGGCATGTACCTGGGTTGCAGGCACATCCCCAGTAGGGGGCGTGCAGGAGGCAGCTGATCGATGTTTCTCTCTCATCGATGTTTCTAACTCTCTATCTCTCTCCCTTCCTCTCTGTAAAAAAATCAATAAAATATATTTAAAAAAAAAAAAAGAAAGCAGAAAACCAAATACTGAAAACAAAACATAGTCTAACCCGAAGTTCAAGAAAATGAACTGACTGCTTCAGAGGACTGCCTACACCTCTACATTTTAATGAGCAGTTACCCATCATCTAGGAGCTATAGGGCGACCATGAGAATGAGCCTCACTGACCCCCGAACACATGACTGACCCCGGACCCCAGCTGCTGAGCCCTGAAAGCCATGGCCCCGAGTCCCT